TAGCCGTGACAAGTGGAAATACTCCGCCCAAAATATTTCGACATAAACTCTGAGCTGCCAGTGCCGATGAGGCGTATCCATGATATGTATCAGCAAGATAGTTGAAGACGGCGAGATATATGCTGAATATACCCATTGAACATGAACCAAGGGCTATGCATGGAGATATCCATGGAATATCTGGCCTGGCTGTCGTGAAGAACCAGAGGAGGCCGATCGGTAAAAGGATGGACTGTATGCATGGTGAGAGTAGACGCTGTTCTGGTGTAGACAACGGCTTTTTGTGAGGTAGCAGCTGTTTCATGGCGGGTTCCTGCAGCAGTGAGATTCCGATGCCGACGATTGAGCCAACAATAGTAGCAGCGTAGACTGCCCCGACCTGAGCGTTGTCGAAGCCATATACACTGCGAAACACCAGCCCAATACTGCTGAATTGCATGTACATGATTGCCCAGGCAAAGGATACCCATAAAGACATACAGAACACAATAGGCTCTTTCGAAAGAAGCCGTAGTGGGAAAGCGAAACCTCGCCATACCATGCTGATTTCGATGTCCAGGCATTCTTTGACCGCAGGAGCAAAGGTGATTATTGCCCCTGTTGTTGACTTGAATGGCGTTCCATTCAGCATCAAGCACTTCCGGCGCAAAAGGACATTACTTCGCGTCTCCTGAAACAGAAAGAACAATACGACTGTAGTTATGCCGATTGTGATAAGTTGGATAAAGAAGACCCATCGCCAGCCGAGAAGGTCCACAACGCTCCCACTGATCAATGGACCGAGACTAGAACCGGCCATGATTGTCATAGAGTACAGGGCCATTGGTGTATTGCGGTCTTCTTTGCGATACAGATCACTCACAACACCGCCCGTAAGCGTTGCAAAGACTGCGGCTCCATTGCCTGTGATCAGACGAGAAACCATCATGCCGACATAGCTTTCTGTGAGAGCGCATCCAAGAGTTCCGAGGAAGAAGACAACCCCAGAGCCCACGAACGTCCAGTATCGACCATGAATCTCGCTGATGGGAGCAAGAACCATGGGGGCAAAGGCGAAGCCGACAACGAAAAGGGTGATTCCGATGTTGAAGAGGGTATCGCTGATGTCCCATTTGTTGCGAAGAGGCTCTGACGCAAGAGCATATGCTCCGGCGGCGTATGCCGCGAGGGTAGATGCCATGAATGGCCCCAGAAGGGTGATTGTCTTCTTCTGAGCTGACCAGCTGAACGGTGAGAGGGATATGTCGGCTACATTGTGGATGAATGAAATATCAAGGCCGACAGAACAAAGATGATCGGCAAGTGAAAATGAGGGCTCAAGGGCTTCAAGGCCAAGGGGTACCCGGATCTCGTTCAGTGTCTCGGTAGAAGCAGATGCTTGGGAGACGGTTTCTGGGGCTTTGCCCTCAAGCGGAGGATGCTCTTGGATCACGACTGCCATTGCAAAGAGTATAATTCCTTGAGAAGTTTGTCTCCAAACTGCCGCTCATCTTGCAGTTGAAATTTATACCAGTCAAGAACAAGGTTTACATCGGTCCTAACCGGGCAATTAATGAGGCCATTAGAGCCTTTCGTTGGTTCGCTAAAGCGGTTCCGGCAGTTTAGAATGTAGCATCGGGTAGATAGGAAATTGGTACGAGATCCGAGCGTGCTGATCATAGCGTTAAAGTTGGCGGGGATAGACGGACCAACTCCGCAAGGGCCAAAAAGATGTTATCTCACACGACCAAAAGAGTGGATGAAGCAGGTCAGCGAATAGCATTCTTTTTGGAAAATATGTAGTATTTACTCCTCATTTCTACTTAAAAGGTAGATATGATGCCTCCGAATTGCAAGTTGAACAAACAGAGTCGAGTTATTTGAGTAACATCACTACTTTTTTCATCCCCCTTATACGAACCAGTCTTCCCGCGATGACCCTTGTAAAAGCCCAACCTCCCCTTAATAACGGGCACGTCAAAAATGAGGCTAAAGAATGGGCGCAAGATAAGCTTTCGCAAATGACTCTTGAAGAAAAGGTCCTTTTGCTCACCGGCGAAGACCTGTGGAGGACCAACGCAGTTCCTCGTCTTGGAATCTCCAGAATCAAGACCTCAGACGGACCTGTCGGTGTTCGTGGGGGCATATTTACAGACGGAGTCAGCGCTGCTTCAGCGCCTACCGGGTAATTATTTCTCTGTCCATGCGGCGTTGCCGAAGCTGACAAGGGTTCCACCACAGGGTTTCCCTAGCGGCGACGTGGGATTTATCTGTTATTAGAGACGTTTGCAGCGTTTTGATCCACGAGGCTAAGAGCAAGGAAGTCGATGTTTTGCTCGGACCAACAGGTAATAACGTTCCGCCCGTTCAATATCACTCGGTTCTTACTTTTTATAGTATGTATTCCCAGAACACCACTTGGCGGCCGCAACTTCGAAGCCTACAGCGAAGATCCCTACCTGACCGGCAAAATCGCCGCCAAGTTCATCAATTGTCTGCAAGATGCAGGTATTGGCGCTTGCATCAAGCATCTTGCCGCAAATGACCAAGAAAACCGACGCTTCTTTATCGATGAGAAGATTCCGGACCGAGCCCTACGAGAGATTGCACTGCAGCCGTTCCAGATTGCTATTCGTGACAGTAATCCTTGGACGGTTATGACTGCTTATAACAAGATCAATGGCACGTTCTGCTCGGCCCATGAGTTCTTGATTCAGGATGTCCTTCGGAAGGAATGGGGTTGGGATGGTCTTGTGATGAGTGATTGGTTTGGCACGAATAGTATTGTTCCGTCTGTCAAGGCAGGGTATGAAGCTACGGCCTAAAAGCGCTTGGAAGAGAACTGACATGAGATAGGCTTGATCTTGAGATGCCAGGCCCCGTACGACGAAGAGGCAAGCATCTTATAGATGCCTACCAGAAAAGCCTTGTCGACCTATCCTATATCGACGCGTCTGCATCAAGAGTTCTTGAACTCGTACATAGAGTTGGAAAGAGCAATATTCCTGATTGGAAGGAAGGTGATGAGAAAGCAGACGATCTTCCTGAACATAGGGCGATTTTTCGTCGAGCTGGCGCTGAAGGTAAGTCGAAGCCCCAGGTCGAGAAGCAACATTCTAATCTGAACCTCTAGGCATCGTTCTGCTCAAGAATTCTGCCAAACTTCTTCCTCTGTCTAACTTGGACGGGAAGATAGTCGCTATTCTCGGCCCTAATGCTCTTCGGTCCGTAGCTACAGGTGGAGGCAGCTCTAACCTCGCACCTCACTATCGAACAACACCTTACCAATCGATCAAGTCTGAAATAGCCGCCAAATTCCCGACAGCCAATGTCCATGCCCATGCAGGTATCCTCACCCACCGGTACATTCCGCTCGTGGATCAAGATGTCATGACAAATCCAGAGACTGGAAAGCCTGGCTTTCAACTCTCTCTGTTCCGAAACATGAACCACAGTGGTCAGCCTTTCATGGTTGAACACAGACCTAGTTCCAACTTGGTCTGTTACGACGGGCTGCCTCCAGAGTTAACTACTGGTGAGAGATACTCGTATAGAGGACGAACTATCCTGAAGCCAAAGACCACTGGTCTCCATGAGTTCTCTCTCTCGTCATGTGGGCCAGGAAAGCTCATGCTTGATGGAGAGGTCATCATCGATATCGAGCGACACTGGTGGTCTCCCAAATCCTCACTTTTCATGAGCTACGGTTCCCCCGAGGAGAGAGTCAAGTTGTACATGGAAGCGGAGCGAGAGTACGAACTTCTTCTTGAGTCCATAAGTCGAGAGCCTAAGCCATACGATCTTGATTACATGGCCGAACTTGAACGCGAGGAGGTTCAAGATGGCGGCCGTATCGGCTTCATGGAGAACCCCGGTGATCTAGACAAGTTCTTCCACGACGGTGTTGACATGGCTCGTGATAGCGACATTGCGATTGTCGTGGTGGGTAAGGATCATGAATGGGAGACGGAAACCAGCGATATGGTATCGATGGACTTGCCCGGGCGATCAAACGAGTTCATCAGCTCCGTCGCAGCAGTCAACCCAAACACCATCGTGGTCAACCAGACAGGCAGCCCTATAACTATGCCCTGGGAAGATGAGGTATCCGCCATTGTCCAGGCTTGGTATCAAGGACAGGAGCAGGGCAATTGTCTTGCGGATGTCCTTTTGGGTACCGTAAACCCCAGTGGAAAGCTACCCATCACCTTCCCCAAGCGCATCGAAGACACTCCACCTTACGATAACTATCCTGGTGAGAATGACGTGGTTTACTACGGGGAGGGTATCTATGCAGGCTATCGATTCTACGACCATCGCAAGATCGAGCCTCTTTTTCCCTTTGGTGCAGGTTTGTCGTACACCACCTTTGAGTACAGCAACATGCGCATCAGTAGCAATGACTTCTATGAAGAAGTGGGCATTGAAGTTGAAGTGGATGTTACCAATACTGGATCTCGAGACGGAAAGGAGATTGTCCAGTTCTATGTCGGTCAGATTGACCCAAGACTTCATCGACCAGAGAGAGAGCTGAAAGGTTGGGAGAAGGTCTTCGTTCCAGCTGGTCAGACTGTCACTGCGCGTATGAAGATTGACAAGGTCAGTCTGTCATACTGGGATGATAGGTTTGATAAGTGGGTGATTGAGAAGGATGCCGAGTATCGTGTGACAGCGGCCAAAGATTCGAGGGATGAGGGGTTGACAGTAACTTTCCGGTCTCCGAAAGAGTACCGCTGGGTTAATTAGAAGAATGCGCTGCGCCTCAACCCACTATAGAACAGACATATTTATTGAGGTAATTCTAGCAAGCCAGAAGGTCTAATATTTCACCGTCTCGAAAGATTGTCGGTGACATGTCTGTTACCAAGCCTGAAAGAGCCCTTCTCGCCTCCTCTGCGATTTTCCAATTATGAGGCAACACAAACTGACAAGAGTCGCTGCGGAGGACGAAGGCAAGTTGAAGCTCGTAGGCGAAAAGACTAGCACAGGTCAGCGTATGTTCAGATGGTAACGGGAGTATCTTACCTTCGACAAGAATTGATGGGATGAAGCAACAAGGCCAATGGCTCCTGTAAGATCCCACTTACTACCACGGACATCAATGCACTGCCAACTGCTATGCGTGCGCCTGCGGCGTCAGCGTCGGTAAGAGGCGCTGTATGATCGCGGTGTAAAGCTTTGTAGATGAATGGTCGATGAATGATGGACTTTGCAGCGAAGTAGCGAGCCTGTAGTTGACCACGTAGTCTCTCATCCGTCGAGCGATGCGTCTGGTCAAGTCCAGGGATTTCTGCAAGCTGTGCCTCTGAGTAGCTTGAGAACTCCAGGCCCTGGGGCAGACAAGTTCTCCATTCTTCAAGCTGGCGGTCTAGCTCGAATATCACGGATGGGGAGACTGATAGAAACGCGGCGGACTTTTCGATGTGTGCCTGTTCTCCACTCGTAGTGTCTTCTATGTGCTCTAGTTCCTGTTAGCCTCTTTGCGATTTATCCTTAGGTCCGACGGATTACCTCGGCTATAGAGGTGGAACAAGATACGGTTGAGCAATTTTCTCATGGAGATGAGGGCTAAAAAGAAGAACTGATACTGCGCATGGCGAGGATCTGTGCCTGCTCCGGGGATGACGGGTAGAGGCATGCTGCTGGCGAGTTTGCCGAGTCCGCTGGCTGGAAAGTCGAACTCGGCCAGAATTTGACTTTGATCTTTGCATTAGCTTGGAGATGTTTGTGTGTAGGACGTCTTACCTCTCCTGTAGATATGCGATCCAGAAAAGCTGACAATGCTGCGCCTCTAGTGTCCGCTGCCTGGGAGAGTGTTAGTCAACGGACCCCAAGGATAACAAGGGTTGGCATACAGTGGCACGAGTATTGAGACGGTGCAACAAGCTTTATGGTTGACTTGCCAGGCATCATAGACCCTGAGTTTAGCAGAATAGAAGAGACTATCTTGTTAGCAGCCATGAAGCTCAAGGCTGAGGACAGCTTACCCCATCAGAAGCAGGCACTGGACGCTCTCCCAATCACCTCCCTCTAAATCACGGAACATGCCGTTCGCCAGATTAAAGAAACCGAGGCCAATATCTTGCTCATTTCCTGATGACCACTCTTCGTGTCCGGAGTAGTGAGCGACTATGGACCCTAAGCTGCAGACAAGCAGAACCGTGCATGAGCTGTAGTTGGGCGCAAAGTTGGTCTGAACGGCGTTGCTCAGAACCTGTGTATAAAACAAAGACTCGTTCAGGATGAGGCATGACGGATGGAAGTGCTGAAAGTATGATTGCGTTAGTAAGCTGACCTGAGATAATGACAGGCGTGATAACCAAGAGTCATCTCCAGCTGGTGTTCCAGCTACAAGGCAACGAGGTGGTGCTGTCGAGCGAGATAACCTCGGTCGTTTTATCTCCAACTCCATCGGGTACTGTAGGTCCGGCTCGCTCATTGAAAGAGTCGAGCAAGGCCAAGTCAGAAGATGCTGCGGCGCGGTAGAGTGTCGTTGGGATAGTGAGAGCTCTTCCAACACTCGACCTGTGTCGAGAAATGGGGTTGAAGCATTTTGAACTATTCCAGTACTGCCGAGGTTTAAGGGACTGAAAGCAGCAAACTGGCTGTTTCCAGGACTTGAGGCCAGGCCAGTCGTATGCGCTTGATGATGACCATCATTTTGTTGAGCGAGAGCTGTGAGGACATCGAGTTTCTCGTCCATGCGTTTCAGGGTACCCGTTAGTTCCTCAATCGATAGGTTCTTCCTATTGACTGTCAACGAAGATTCTCTTCAGATCAGTGTGCAAGTGCATACTTGGCCGCAACAGTCTCAATATACATGCATTCAAGACCCAACCGCGTGCATCGAGCACAAGCGGGTTTCCTCTCGTCACATTTGGTCTTCCTTTTTCGACAAGCTTCGCAAGCCTAGTTAGTCAGCCATTGTCTCTCATTCGTGCGACGATGAGACTGACGTTGAGTGCTTGGCGGCGGGAAGGGTTATTCGTTGTTTGCGTCTGGTTCGGCTGATTGGACATTTTGACTGGACCTGGAACATGTCCTGGCCGATCCCTGTGGAGTTGATCTGAGAACCCCCATGTCAAAACACGCTAAAGAGCGAGCGGAATAACGTTGGTCCAGACACTACTCTACTGGGCGAAGGATGTAGGGTAGCCACAAGAACCAACTAGAATCATTGGCTTCTCATCGTCATTACTGAATAAATTGGCACTGAGATATAATACCGATATATTACGTACAAATTGAGGAATCAGAGTACGCTTTTTATGTTCAATTTGATGTTTTGTCACGCTTTCGCGGACTGAGCAGTTCTTTGTCGCCAGCTTACACTCAACCCTAATTGCCTAACCATCACATCATTTTGAGCGTCATTGCAATCCTTGATAATACAAGCTCATGTGCAAATTCTATAGACGATCATTTACAACAAAAACTATAGTTTGACATCTCTGTTCATTTCTTGATACTTTTATGGCACTATAGCTGGCCAAACATGTAATTCAGGTTTCTGCACATCTTTGTTCTGTAAATCAAGGCCCGCCCGCACTGGCCTCAACAATGATACTTTGCAGGGGTAACAAGCACAGATCTAGAGTTATAAATTCTCCTATCTAATCGATCGCTCTTCAGATTCACGGTTATGAAACTTCAAGACGCAAAGAGTACGTGTCGTGACGCTGATATTATCGTAAAAAGAGCAATCAGCAATTCCAAGCCCTTGCGTTCAGACGGAACCTCGTAGTCCCGGATGCACCAACGTCTTGTCATGTTGCAATTGTCGTCTCATCCCTCGATTTAAGCTTAATATTAGCTGCAACACAGCGCCGCGGAGCTGTGACCAAGGAGATGGTTGGCTTGGCATGTTTCCGTCTAGTCTTAGTGCAACCATCCTGAAACACGTCTCGACTCTCTTGCCCCAGACATCTCATACGTATATGATACCACGAACTTGATAATTTTTATATCCGCTTTTATCACGGAAGTTGGTCTTTCCAATCCTTCGCTTTTCGTCGTTCGATTGTCGTACGTTTTCTTGCTCAGCCCTGGCGGCTTTTTTGTTTGCGTTTGTTTTGTGTATTTCCCTTCTTTGCCCTGGTGGCCTTATTTGTGTTTTTATTAATTGGTCGATCGCTTTAATTTCGTCATGTCGATTTCGTCTTGTCCGGTGTCGGGGTCGGTGGGGGGAGAGTGTCCGGTTGGTGGTTCTTCGCGATCGGGGCAGACGCGACGAGGCTGTGCGTTTTCGGCGGCGGCGCAACCTGGTGATCTTCATGCTGCATTTGATGTGAGTGAACGGAAACAAATATTGACGACAGGCACTGACTGAACATGTAGATTCCGCGGGGGATCGATACAGAAGAATGGCTTCGCGCAAGGTAGGATGTTCGATGAACAAGGCAGGTCATGACAAGGCTGGCATGCAATTGAACAGAGAACGAAAGACGATCAATGAACTCCTCTACGCCGACTACCCCTCCCGCGAAGAAGTCGATTCCGTCAAGAGCCAACAAGAGCTCGATGCCATGAACGCAAGCGACCACGATCTCCTTGCCATCGCCCTCGGCGCCCCAGCACGACAAGTCCTCCAACGCGCTCAAGAAATTGGTCCCCAGACAGGATGGCGCGATGGATACCTCAGCGTCGAGCACGGCTTCTGCCCTCCAGACTACGAAGAGCCCATTGCTGCGCTTGCAAGATCACCGGGTCGCATTTGGTCTGACCTCTGTGAGCGCATGCCAGGATGTTGCGCACGAGGAAGAGTGCGAGAGGCTGTTGCTGCGCTGCCGCTTGTCGAGGGTACGGAGGAGAATATCCCTGATGAAGCTCTCTGGGGCGCCGTAGTGGCTCTCGGCATGCTCTGCTCGATTTACCGATTTGAGGATAAGCATGATGGAAAGGATGGACTTGCTATCACAGATGGAGCGACAACGAAGCCGCAATGTCCGATGGGTGACGACCTTTGTGAGGAGCTGGAGGGTATCCCATTGTGCATCGCTCTTCCGTACTACCAGGTCTCACGAAGAATGGGAAGAACCCTGCCCCACCTCTCATTTCCCGATCAAGCTTCATACAACCTCAAGATCAGAGACATCAAGTCCAACACCCCATATCTTGCGCGCTTCGACAATACTGATCTTCGATGGCCAATGTTCGGCGAGAGGGCCGAGGTAGCTTTTCTGAAAGGATGCGCCGATACCTCTGGTAGGTCTTTCCCCTCCACTACAACTTCTCAACTAACACCCTCAATAGCTTCATTCCAACATGGCCCCGATGCCATCGCTGCCTGTCAAGAACACGTCATGACCGGCAACATCGAGGGTCTTCTCCAGGAGATGATCCGTCTGAAGGAGATCCTCGAACGAATGCCCAACGCCTTTCACAGCATATCGCCCAATCCCAACGCAGGCGATAACTATGTATCGGCCGACAAATGGGTGCGATGGGGACTCTTCTCATCGCCCTTGTCGAAGCGAGTCCCAGCCGCATCGGGCCTACAGTTCCCTCCGTACTTGGTGATGGATGCTTTCTTGGGTCGCAAGACGTAGGTAGAGTTCCGAATACCTCTGTGACTTGCGCTAACATGACACAGACACGCATCTTTCCTCGGTGTCGAAGCCCTCCATCTTCGAGCATGGCTCCCTTCCAACCACCGCGCCTTCATCGCCGCAATCCAATACCACTACTCCATCCCCGAATTCGTCCAACGATCCGGAGATCCTCGTCTCATGGGTGTCCTCGAAGGAATCGTCGAAGCATACGCTGGCGAACGCGGCTTCATGGGCGTGCACCGCTACAAAGTCTTTGGCATCCTCGAAGTGGCAGCCAAGACGGGACGAACAGCCACCAACGGTCTTTCTGGTGCGGCAGATGCGACAAGGCCTTGGGAGGAGACACATCGTCAGTTCTCCGATGCAATGAAAGAGCGTCTTGAGCCTTTCCGGGGCAAGCTTGCCATGGAACCGCATTCGATGAGGGGCACGTTCGAGGAGTGTCGGTATATGGCTAAGATTGCGAGTTGCTCTTCCATTGATCAAGATGCAAGCCGCTCAACTGCCATGGTCACTCTGGATATTCGGGACACCGGTATTACTTTTGCGCCTGGAGATCGAGTGGCCGTCATGCCTCTCAACAGCTGGGAGGAGTGTGCCAAGATGGTTGCTGCTCTGGGTCTTGATCAACACGTTAGGGAGCCAGTCGACACTACAGGAACTTGGTCACGGTTTGAACACCACCTATCCACAGTTACGAGAACCGCGCACAGACAACTTACAGTCATCGACATCCTTCGTCGAGGTCACCTCGCCCCAATCACCAAGGAGCTCACTGTCAAAGTCCACGAGCTCCTTCACGCTTCGTCCAACACTGTCCTCCAAGTGTTAGCCACAGAGGAGTGGCCGGTACGTGGATCCTTAGGCGATCTTCTTCAGAAGGCCGTTCTCGATACGCCAAGCCACATTTGGAACAGGGCTTTCAACCTTGAAGACCTGAGCTGGTTGTCGGAGCTCGTTCAGCTTGAAGTTCCCCGAACATACTCCATCTCTAGTCATAGTAACGAGCTGCTCCCCAGCACCGTCGACCTGACTATCTCTCGCGCCGAGTATGAGCTTAGTCCAATCTTCTCGCAGAGACAGACTGTCACCAGAGCCGGTGTCGCAAGTGGCTTCTTCAATCCTCGTCCCTTGTCCGCAGAGAACAGCCTCTTGTACGAAGTCCTGATCGGTGTTTCTCGACCGGTTGCCTTCCAACTTCCTATCGACAAAATGGTTCCCTGTGCTTTCTTCGCCGGAGGTAGTGGCATCGCCCCCTTCCGCAGCTTCTGGCAGCATCGGCTAGCGACATCGGGTCTGTCAGGTGGACGTAATTTGCTGTACCTGGGAGTCCAGTCCCGTGAGAAGTTCTGCTACGAGGCTGAGCTGCGGGAACTAGTCAACATGGGCTTCATGGAGGTCCATCTTGCGTTCTCCAGAGATCGTCATGGTTTGGCATATGACGGTGTCGCACGGGATCTTGTGGAGAAGCCGACACCTCCTCGATACATCGACAGCCTCATCGTCGAGCAGGGTAATATGATTTGCGACATGGTCATGTCAAAGAAGCAGGGCGGCCTTGGTGGTCACTTATACGTCTGTGGCTCAGTGTCTGTGTTTGACTCGGTCATGAGCGGCATTCGTAAGGCTATGTACAACTACCGCACAGCAACCATGGAGACCGTCGACTTGATCATCAACAAGGCTTTTGCCGAGCGTCGCTTCATGCTTGACGTCTTCATGTCTCCCAAGGCCCTCCCCTGCAATCTCCCGACGATCTCTCTCTCTAGCCTCGCTCTGCACACTGGTCATCGCCAAGAGTCTCGAATGTGGATCGCTGTTCATGGAAGTGTTTACGACATCACTGACTTCTGTCCCATGCACCCTGGTGGAACCCTCATCATCAAGTCCAACGCAGGTGTCGACTGCACCAAGTCCTTCGACAACCTTGCACATACCAACAACCCCGAGGTGTCGAGTCTGCTGACGAGGTACTTCATTGGTCATCTAGCTCCCAAGCCCGACTATCGTGATAGCGACGTTTCTACGCTTCATGATCTTTGGGCTTCGTACTTGAGGGTCACCGTCGAGACGCTTGTCGCCCATCAGTTTGAGATGAACGATATCATGGGCGAGTCTATTGACTCCCCTTCTGCGTATGATCCCAACGGTATCAGCAACATCTGGCTCCGAGAAGGCCTTCCAAACACCATTGCCATTCGAACCTTCTACGATTACCAGAATCGCTTGCTACAGGGTGGCTTTGCTGCTCTGTTTGGATCAAAGCTGGAGGAATTAGTCCTGCGCCTTTCCTTCAACTTCGCCAACTCTGGCGGACCAGGTGTGGCCTCCAAGCTACCAGACATTTTGGGTACCATCGCCCGCGCCAAGTCTGGTAGCGACGCAGTTCGCAGCGCGAAAGAGATCAGTGCTCTTGGAGATTTTGTTTGCGATCCATCTTCCGAGCTGCGCTTCCAAGAGCGGGGAGTCCTCGACTTTACTGCGAAATGCGTGCAGCTTGACATTGAGCTCTTGGAAGATCTCCGACAAGAGGCGTGCAACGGCATGGACGCTTTCGAGAGCATCGCGACTGTTCTCGATTCTTTCGATGGGTCTAACTCGGACTCTACGCCTGTGGCTGCTTTGTCGTCGTTTCTCTTGCAGACACTCGAGAGGATGGCACATCGACTGGCGATGTTCTACACTCAGTTGGCACGTCTCTCTGTGTATCAGCCTGAGCTTGAGCATAATCCAGCCCGAACCCGATGGGCTTTCGTCAGGCGATGTATTCGAGATGGTACCTTCTTTGTCATGACCCGATCGCGCAATGATGGGCAATCGATGGACGGACAATCTGAGTCTTACTACATCAATGCGAAGTCTTTGGAGAAGACAACCTTTGACAACATCCTCTCACAGATAAAGCATGTGATTACTTCCTCGACAGCGGAATCACACACGACGATCGTTCAACCATCCACTGTCAATGATGTTCACCACGAGAGAGCAACCACCCTCGCCAAGGACGGTTCGGTCGCTTCATCTGCATCCAGGCTGAACGTCGGAGCAGTTGAGAGCATGGGAAGCTTCATGAAGAAGAACGAAAAGGCAATCCGCCGGCTGAGCAGCATGCCAAGTCAGCTGCAGCTGGATGATCTTCAAAGAGCCATCGCTTTGAACGACAAGCCCAGTCCTCAGGCTAGCGAGAGCACAGATGCCTTGAAAGAGAACCCAGGTCGTTTCAAACCGCTAGAGCTCAAGACATCCCTCAAGATAGACCCCAATGCTTTGCTTGCTTGTAAGGACCAGATGCTGACTGCGCGCATGAGGATAATGGCCGGTTATGAGATGATGTCTTGCTCAGCTTCTCGGTTGAGTGCCCCGGCAAAATGTACCTCGATCAGCTCCATTACTTTCGAGGAAGCCGATGAACTGGTTGTCACCAACCATCAACCGCTCATGGAATGCTTAAAGTCCATTCCAGACGACGAGAGCGTCCCATCCTCAGCATCGTGCACAACTGCCCAGTCTCGTCGTAGCTCATTCAGTGGTAGTTCTGTTACAGGCTCTATCGCTGAGTCTGTCATACAGACGCCTCCATCTCGCCCATATGAGACTAGCATGGCCCTGAAGTTGAAGCTTGAGGGTTTGAACCGCCGGTCGCGTGGAGAGTCTGTTTCATCCCGACAGAGCTTCATCTCGGCTTCGAGTGCGATAGATCTGAGAAGGAATAGGTCCGTGTCGAGTGCCAGGAATGCATCGAAGAGGATGTCCATCGACCCTGGCCATACGAGGGAACAATCGGCCGGCAGGCTGTTGGCATTCAAGCTAGGAGCTTTGGCAGGCGAGAGGCGATCTTTTATCCCACCTACCTGGTAGATATCTATAGTTTAGTCGCTCAACAAACAACGGTATTTGGATAAGCCAATTCAGCTCTCAATTATTGAGCTTTCGCAAGTAGCAGCCATTAAGACTGTGGTTCCACAGATCGCATGCGACATCGACAATGAGAGTAATTCTGAGCTTGACAGCTTGACATATGTGCGGACCGATAAGTAGCTGCATTCTGACACCTGGAGCGGGATATACTTTCTATACTAGGATATATAAGCCGAGGGCGTGACATATTGGTTGGTTGGTTTGCTGATGCATAAAGCCCTGCAACAACTTTTCTCGTATGCGAACCCTGTCACTATCACTGTCACAATGCAAGGGGTTGCAGCTCCTTGCATAATCCCGCGGTATTCTCTGTACGCGTGTCTCAGAACTAAACCCAAAGACATCAGCAATACATATTTAGTCAAGATATTATTCTTATGATGCACATGATCTGACATTTTAGCTTCCGTAGCTGAACATCGAACGTGCTCCACAACCCCGGGGCAATGATGATTAGCACCGTTGATTGACACTTCCGCCACGGAATGTAACCCAAGACTACATGCATAAGGATATGCGTTGGCTCGATATCCCCTCGACAGGGATACAGTGGGAACCCCCTCATCAACCAACACACGAGCGGTCTGTTCTTGCTTTTTAATCCCTCTTTTAGTTTTCGACGGCGCCAAGTTTAATCTCAATTCGACACTTTTAGCATATCCTGTGCGAATATTGTACGAAAAATGTCGTCTCCAAAGTCGCAAAAGTCTAGGTCGCCTACCAAGTCGCCGCCGGGACCGCAGTCCCCTGCTGCGCTGGGCCAGGTTGCCGAAGAACAGGCTGCAATTGAAGTTGTATGATCAACCCACGATAGGTTTCGACCGCTCCGGAGACTAATGAGAATCTTGGGTAACAGGATGATGATTCGGATTCTTCTTACTCCAAATCGTGAGTCAATATCAGGTCAGGGTCTTTCGACGTTATTTACGTGATTGCAGCACTGGGATCACGGATACCGAGTCCCTTCGGTCGTCGATTATGGCGTTCAAGTGGGAGAATGGACGACGATACCACGCTTACCAAGATGGATCCTATTGGTGAGCTCTCATTGATTGCTTTTTGATGTTCTAGTAGGCTTATACAACTTTTAGGGCTCCCAATGATGATCGCCAACAAGAAGCTGAAGACCTCATGTAAGAACAACATGGACCACAATGGTAACTTTCTGACACATTCGAACAGGCATGAGGTATATAGAATCATCCTTGGCAATTCGCTGTATGAGGCACCCATTGGCGACAGCCCTCAGGTAAACAACACTCCAAAATATGTAAGCATCCTCTAATTGAGAGGCAGAAAGTTCTTGACATAGGATGCGGAACTGGCATCTGGGCAATGTGAGTTCACATAGACGAAGCACGTCTCTGATATCAAAACTAACAAATACAGCGAGTTCGCTGATGAGCATCCTTCGGCTGACGTTCTCGGCGTCGATCTCTCTCCCATCCAGCCAAACTTCGTACCCCCCAACTGCAGATTCGAGGTTGACGATATCACAAACGAATGGACTTATCCGGATGACACATTCGACTTCATTCACGCCCGCTCTATGATAGGCTGTATTCCCGACTGGACTGAGCTTTACCGCAAAGCATTCAAGTACGTTTCCTGTTGAAAATGGCATGAGTTGCTTCTGATCCCTCTAGGCACACTAAGCCTGGTGGTTGGGTAGAAAGCGTCGAACTCTGGGGCAACTCAAAGTGTGATGACGATACCCTGAGGCCTGAGTCGCCGCTTTACAAGTGGGTTGAGGTCTTCAAGAAGATTGAATCTCTGACAGGCAAATCCTTCTTCTGGGATGATAAGATGCAGCAGTCAATCTCTGACGCTGGATTTACCAATGTTTCGGGTCGAAGGATCAAGGTGCCTATTGGAACTTGGCCAAAAGATAAGACTCTCAAGCAGTGGGGTGCTTGGAATCGGCATTTCCTTCTTCAAGGCCTTGAAGGTTTCTCGATTCGTGGCTTAACCGAAATGCTAGGCGTAAGTTGGAGCGCATATCGGATGGTAAGACAGTTTGCTGATGACGGTGGAATTAGTGGAAATACGAGGATGCTCAGTTGTTCTTGGCCGACATGCGCAAAGAGTTGACGAACCCAGCCCTGCACGCGTATCTTGAAGTGTAAGTCCAGCTTACCGTTGGTGAACCATGAGTGCATGCTGACCTGATTCTTGACAGGACCGTCTTTTATGGGCAGAAACCAGAGGCTTAAAGTATTGTACTCATGGATGGTAGCACCGCGAGCATTGTCTTGAGATCACTAGGTACCAGGCCATTGAGTGGATGTTGGGCCAAGTTTCACGGCAGTCAATATCAATAGACGTATGAATTGAACACCTTGCAGACGGGCTTCAGACACTATAACCTACCTTTGCTGCCGTACTGATGTGATTATCGTTCTCCCTCCGCGGTCCAGCAAATAAACTAGAGCTTACCAAGTCCAGCTTTCCTGTTTTCAATACACCATCCATTAGCGGTGACTCAACTTGATCAGTGATATTCTGGTTGCGGTGAGACATTCCACTTCATCATTTCCTCTGCTTGCCTAGCCATTCACTCACAATCATTCCGACAGCATCACGGACGCTCTATCCACTGAAAGGTCTCGCTTGCTCTTCAATGTCTATAATAACGGAGGTGCTGCGGCTTGAAGACCTCTTTGAGGAGCAGCCCACTTCCAGGCCAGTATATGAGTGATGAGTGAGCCGGCGAGACAGACAAGAAGACGGACAAGGAATTCACATGTTCACACGGGCTCACCTTGTTACCAAAACATTCCTGCCACAACAGTTTGGTCGATCATCTGCCACTATTACATTGCCACCGTCAAAATGGTAGAAACGCTCTACGCGATGATGGAAGTCCATTTCAAGGCAAAGATGACGCAGGTTGAACCTCCAAAAGAAGATATTTTCAAGAAGCATAAGTTTGCACGGCGGTCAGCTCAACAATATGATGAAAAGACCAAGTTACTCACATTCAAAATTTTTGATACGCTCAATAATGCAGGGAAGGTGAAGGATGAATTGTGGAATCTGCTAGGAAAGGAGAAGGTTTTTGGAGGAGTGGGGTGTTCAGGGACTGTTTTTCATGACCAGCAATGGAGAGATTGTCAATGCTATGGAGGACGAACGACTACTCAAGGTTTTCAAAATGCCTACTTTGGAGGAATTTCTCGATAGTCTGATGCCTTCGACCGCGGGTGTTCCATCCACATAGACAGTAATTGAGGAACACTTCAACTCCCTCAACTGAAGTAGTGTGTAGGATACTTTGACATGGGAAGAAAGAGTATTACAGAATTGTGTGACATGACTATGATTCAGTCTTTGAATTATCTTCTTGACGACAGAGTGAGGCGACTTGAACACGAGATATGTCACTGAATATGAACTCTCGATAACCATGTGCTGAGATGAGATTTCAGTGGCATCCAAATGAGAGACGGATCCCAGCCACGAAAGAAGTAAATCGTTACAGTTGATTCGGAGGAGAGATCATATACTCTTGCAATTCTCTGATTAAGTCACGGCAGTAATTGGAGGGACAGTGGAGCGCTTCAATCCAAAGCTGTGATGCTCATCTCGATATCCATGAATCAGCATCTGTAGTTCTTGTGTGCGAGGGGAGCTTCCCCTGAACAAGCTTAGGTTCTTTGAATCATAGTAGTCTTGGCAGTGTCACAGTCAACTTTAGCATTAGGTGTTTTACTATCCATCTCTCATAGGTTTAATAACTGGTCCTGGACCAATAATAAGAAACAGACATGCTTTTAACGAACAACACTTCTGATTGCGCCTATATGAGTACCCTGTGTTCCACGGATGCTGGGGAGATTGGCAAGGATCTTACACGAACTCATTCAAGCATACGAACACAACCCCCCAGCATAACCGCTTTTTCATCCTTGTACAAAGAAACACATATTCACAATGCTGGCCCCAGCACAGCGCCTGATTCAACTGGAAGTCCACTTCATGCCCTACAAAACAGAGTCCAAGGTGCCGAAAAAAGATGCTTTTGTTAAGGCTTGTGGCACAGAGCTTTGCAAGCAAGTATGTGACCCTAATACCGGGTTACTCTCATTCACCCTTTACTACACTGTCAGTTCACCTATGACATCCCCGAGAACGACGAAGGAGTTCCTTTGGGGAGTCCTTCAGAAGATGGGTGTATTCTTGATGGTTGGTATTACTATCGAGTTTTTGTCGTGGATGAGCGTATGACGGTATATGAACAGTTTCTCCTGTGAGATCAAGGAGGTAGTTTAACTCAGGACAAAGAGACTTCAGACTGGGTATTTATTATGAATATATGATGAAAAGGAATGTGATCATCGTACAGGCATCTAATCATTAATAGAAGTTGTGACGACCAGCTAATTCGCACCGAAGTGAGCAAACAAATGAGGTTTAAGAGACCCTGAATCGGTCAAGTTAAATTGATTGAGGTGAGGCCAATTTATATTGGGCACTCGCTTTAGATAAGCTCGGTCAGGTTGATATGGGCCGAAGATTCCCCGACAGAAGTAATATTTCTTCAGTCTCCCATAGGATGCAACCTATGAGACTACGTGAGAATAAGCATCAAAGCTGTCTGACTCACATATTCATTTAACCCTCGTCTTGTCCAGACGCTTGCACCGCTCGCAGGAGCATAGGCTGGAGACGTGTATCATTGAGGAATCAAAGCATAAAATTTCCTTTAATACAATATTACATGAAGTGTTATGATGGTTTAGCCCGTGTAAGCTATATAGTAATCTCATGAGGCTGATGCGTCTTTGGTAACGGTATACATCTTGGGAAGACCGAGGCGCTAACAGAAGTATAACCCTACATAAATAGTTATTGGTTCAGCCTTCTAGTGGCTTTATGCAACTCTTATAGGCCTTTGACCCCAACTTTAAGTAACCATGGGTCCGAGTCAATCTGGCTCCTGAGCTCTCCAGATGCTAGGTCATTTACGTCCCATGTAGACCATACGAAACGGCCATGGAGGAACTGCGCCTCTGGGGACGCAGCCCATACAGCGAAGCCGCCAGGGATATTCTCTGAGATATATCAGCTACTTGTACTGAGCACAAAGGCAACAGTTCAACATACCATCTGTCCAAGGCAGAGTGTCCTCGGTATATCCAGCCTTCTTCGCTGCTTCTGTAAACACAATCGATGGATGGAATGATATGATTCGCATGTTGGACTCTGGTGTATCACGAGCAATTTGCTGCAGGACGGTGGCGAAAGAGTTCTTGGTCAGTTGGTATCCAGGCATCTGAGGCGCGCTATCCCAACGATGGATATCTTGGGTTGACACCGATACAACGAACTAGAACGACAGGTCAGTCAAGTTATTTTAAGCAAGCTTTGGTGAATTAACCTTTTGTTTCTTATGTCCGGGTTGCTTATAGAATCTCTCAACAAGGTATAAAGGAGCATGGACGTTGTTCTCAAAGTCCTGCCAGAGTCTATCCGCACCTTGTTCTAGGATTGACTTAAGCTCTGGCTGGCCAACAGCATTAACAATGAGAACGTCAACTGATGTCTTTTCCTTCTCCAAATCATCCCAAAGCTGGTTTGCCTGATCTCTATTGAACAGGTCGCAGGTACGCCAAGTCACCTTGGTGCTGGGGTAAGCCTCATTCAGCCTGGAGGCGGCCTCTTCGGCAACATCGCTCCGGCGACCTAATATAATGACATCGGATGCTCCCGCGATGCAGTAGTTTCGTGCAATTGCGTGGCCAATGCCTGTAGAACCGCCGCAGACGAGAACAGTTCGACCTGCTTGGGATAGCTCAGGTCGCTGAGCTGAGATACCTTCGTAGGGCTGTGCGTGGTTTCGCTACTATAGGTTAGTTTCAGCGAAAAAGTGCAATGAGATTTTATCTATCATACGATGGTGATACCGTTGATAGTTGCGGTGGGCGAATTCATTGTAGATAACTCTTTGCTCAACGATTTTCGATAGGACTTGAATCACGTTCCGTGATAATATTCTCCTGACTCGAGGTGCGAAAAATGAAAAGATTTCTCAGATGGGTCGCTGGTTTTATATACTTTTCTAGACCTTCTTATAAGGATTCACTTGTGAAGCCGACGATTGGCTGCCACGGTGTATCTAACCTGACAAGGTAAAGATCAGCGCGTGGGATCCGGTCCCTCGTCGCTTTCCCTCCTAGCGCTGACGCCTGGAGCAACATGTTAGTCTACTGCTTACAAAATCCATACCGCATCCTCTTATTCCTTCCGAATAGAGTCGGAAACTCATCCATAAGCAGGTAGCCTATCATGTAGCTACGGAGTACAAATCCAATCGGCGAGATCTGTTAAAGGCTGCGGGGTGGGGTCATCAACGTTGACACGGAATTCCGATCCATTGCGAGACCGTCTTGAACTCCGCCTGGTGGAATATCATGTTCAATACCCGTGACACGCCGGATATATGCCTCGAGACTGGTCATTTGTTAATGCCTTTCAACTTTATCACTAGCGTAACTGGAAGTGGTAATGAGACGCCGTTTTGTGCCATCGTCGGAAATAATAATAACAACTCATCATCGAACAGTCATTGGTTATTCAGCTCTCAACTATAAACAGAAGATCCTTTTATAATCTTCTGTCACAATTGTGACTTACATGATGTGGTGTATTTATAAACGAGACTGATGCTCTGACACACGAATTTCTTTTGCTACTACTTCAAGAATGGCTGTATGACGACTACGAGCGGCCTCTTGGAATTAGGATCAGAACTCTTGATAGAGATCCTACTTCCCTGCATCACAAAGCATTGAAGAGTATAAATACCTCAATTCTTACCAAGAGACACGAATTCAACTAATTAGTTGCAAAAACGTTGTTACATTCAATCAGCTGTAGAATATATCGCCTGATTTCAATTAACAATGACCAAAATCAACTATACTAAAATGATTGTTGTCTTCAGGCAAAAGGGCGATTTAACATTCTGGACAAATCCAACCCCCGAGACTTTGATCAAAGAATGCATTAGCCCTTATATGAGACCTTGTGCCGACCACGCAACAAAGACTATCAAATTCACTTATGAGAAAGAAAATGACGACGCGCAGATGATGAAGGCCGAGATGTGGCCAACGTTCTATAGGCTGCAGATGTTTAATGACTGGGAAGTTTCTGAGATAACTGCTTTTCGTAAGGATGGGAAAACCGAAACCCTTAGTGCTTGAGGATACGAGGTTGTTCTTCTGGCACTACACCGAACACCGGCTTAGCCGATAAATGGAGGAAACAAGGCTGTATGGCCGAAGAATCTTGTTAAGGTAGAGGAGTCTGTTCGAAGAACTCAATCTTTGAAGTAGAAGCAGGTGGTAAACAACTTCGTACGGCTGTAATAGATCCTTGAATGTCGAAAACACCAGTCAATCAATCTGGCTTGTTCCGGATCTGTCGTTCCACGAGCTTCACGGTGATATGTTCATGAAACAGTTACAAATGGCAATTTGAACAACTGAACGTCGAATAAAACAGGCAAGGATTTATGGCATAATCTTAATTATATTTAATACACATTGTTTGCCGCATTTGAACTTCTTCTTAGTCTATACTATCCCCTTTTTGCTAATAGCGTTACGACTTTTGCGACGTGTTTCCTCAACACCCAAGTCTTAATAACAGTTCACCATTCCAAGCTCACTTAAGGATGACTGAAATGATTCTACAGGCCACTTTCGCGCGCAAGCCGCATCACTCACCCGACATATTGAGCGACGCGGACCGCCTCCAATCAGCCTGCGGTAAGGAGTGTGAGGTTGATATTATCGCCAACAAGCTTCAAGTTACGGTCAGTACAGATTGTAAAGACAAAGAGGTTGTCATGACTGGTCTTACGATCAAGATGGAGCAGGAAAAGCTGTTTGAGGACTGGGAGCTTGTGCCAGGATGGACTTGGAAGCCTGAGAAGAAGGAGCATTGCTGTTGGATTCTTTAGAGTTGAAACTCTTGGATAAACAGTAAAAGCTAGGTACGATGATATATTGTTCATTTAAGTTCGTAGAGATAGTTAATCGGTTAGGCTATGGTATCTATGATAGGAACGCCAGAGTCTCGAACGAAGCTATGCCGACTCAATTCAAATATAACAAATCAGAAAGTTCTATTGAAATCACGCATCATGCATAGCCTAACTTGAAACTTACACAAAAGGAACGATGGGAGTGAGAGGTCCCTGTCAGCTTTGTAATCTTATCGGTGATGGAGATCAATATGATATGGGGGCAGACGTAAATGGTCTTCAGCTGCAACGAAGACAGGCTCATTTTTATCAGCTCACAATGACAACCTTCGGCTATCTTGTCGGGAGTACAGCAAGGTTGGCCATGAGCGATAGCTGAAGCGCCTGATTGATGTCTAGCCCTCATCATGTTGGAAAGCAATGGCAAAGCGCTTCGGATTATACATGGAGCTAGTACTATAGATCGACAAGCGGGGATGGGTGCGGGAAAGAATCTCCGAGCTATCATAGAGGAAAGTTTGTTAGAGGAATGGGAGCCGTGTTTCGATAATAATGCTCAATCGATCTTCAAGCCGGTTTCCATTGAGACACAAAGCGGGTCTGGATTACCAGCCACAATCAGGAGCTCTAGTCGCAGACGAATATGACATAGAATGGGCTGAATGGCTATATCTAAGGAATGAGTTCATCTGGATGGTCAATTGAACACATATCTGTCGTGTGCCTTTTCTCTGTTCCAAGCCCGCCATGATGTCAATCCTAAGCATTAGCCCAAACCTTCTCAATGCCAAGTCCAAGCCTTGGATTCCACGAATTTAGAATTCCTCCTCAATCCTGCTTTCCTCTCACCAGCCGTCTTAGCCGTACATTATGCATATAAACAATACCTCATCTTGATCTCGATAATCTGAAACGGTGACGATGGAAATGACGTGGGTGTAGTTAGTGCCAGCTCAGTAGCTTGTAAACCAAGACGTTGGTGGATGAAGTCTAGGCCAGAAATAGGCTGGTGGCTGAGACATCCCTGATGTCACGACGCGGAGAAATCATCATGAGCGCATCAGCCATGACGCACTAGAGGTGAGCCCCGGAATTCTTGTATGCACTGGTAAGGAGCTGAAGAGATAAAGGGCGGTGCTGGCTCAGTGGGTGGCTTGTGTTCCTACAATCTTATCATTCATCAATTGAACCTAGTCGTATTAAAATTATAGGAATTGGATAGCCGATAATCATTATGAGTGGACTGCGAAACAATTTCCAGCCCGTCCTGGCTGAAGATGCCCCACGCTCGGAGAGCAACGTCGAACGTCGAGATTCCGGGCCATTGAAGGAAATCATTGGTAAGACAATGCCAGTCATCAAACCGAAGTCATGTTTCTGACTTTGGCGCCACAGCTCAACAGGATAGCCTCTACAAGTACATCAGCGTATGTTTCTCTTCAACCGTTGTCGTGGCTGGTGGCTGATACTGTCTAGTGGGAGGATCCCGCACGAACTATCGGATCCTACTTTGCCGCCCTCGGCTTCATGCTCGCAGTTCATCATATGCATCTAACCCAGCTGACTCTCAAAACCATGGCAATTGGCCTTGGAGGTAAAGTCCATCTCCGCTTCTCGGCACCCATGATACTAATAATTGCTTCCAGTGATGTCCATGGCCGAGTTCGCTGGTCGTTCCTTCGGCCCTAACAACTTCGTCTCTCGCATGCGACCCAGACAGTACAAGACCGTTCCGGAATCAACTCTCAATGCTACGCTCAAGGATATCCACGACTTCATTCAGTATGCTGTTGTTCAGGCTCAGAAAATCCTCTTCGCTGAAGATCTCGAGAAGACATTTGGTGCTTTCGCTTTCACCGGGTCTCTGTACTTCCTGATTCAGTTCATGTCTCCTTTCGGCATTGCCATCCTCGGCCTAACCACCATCTACACCATTCCTCTCGTCACTTCCCCGCGAGGTAGAGGCATTGCCCGTGACGGCATGGCTCGTGCCCAAGAGATCAGCAATACAGCTGTTGACCAAGCCAGCTCTCTCGCCCAAGACACCAAGGGCACAATGGCTAACATTTCCTCCATGGCTCAAGATACCGCTGGCAACTTAAGACAACGCGCTGTCAACATGGTTCCTGGCTCAAAGCAGACTGAGAACCGATCAGATCTTACCTCTACTGTTTCTCATAGCTCTTCTGGACCCACTCAGGCTAGGGATATCTCATCTCAGTTCCCTCAGAATGATTCCGACAAGTCATTTGAGCAGTCCAAGCACCTGGCCTCCATGGGCTCCCGCGGTACTTCTGGTAGTTTCGACCGATCACCAATCAAGACTGTTCATGTAGACCCCAACCAGTCCAAAGACTTCTCCCAGAGCAACTTTGACAGCTCTTCTTCCCAGTCCAAGGACACCCCTTCTAGCTTCTCCCACAGCACTGCTGATGACTTCCCTTCCAGCACCCAGCCCGCTCTCGGCAAATCTAAGGAGAATACCCCAAGCTTCTCCCATGGCGCTACTGGAAACCTGCCTTCTTACGGTCAAGCTACCTTCAGCAAGCCTCAGGATATTACACCCAGCTACATGTCCAGCAAGGCAAAGGAAGCCAACTCCAGCTATTCCTCTAGCCGCCCCGATGACAAGACTCCCAGCTTTGGTTCCAGCATGAACAATGATATGTCATCAGGCTTTTCTCATGGCACTACTGATGACTTCTCACCTTCCACCAAGACCAATTCCAACTTCCCTCCTAGCAAGGACCAAGATATGCCCGATTATGCTCAGCACCGAAAGTCTCTCAACTACTCCAAGTTCCCTCATGTCAGCAGCGATAACTCCGGCATGCAGTCTGGTTCGAACAAGCAGTCCGGCTCTACTACCCTCTTTGGCAAACAAGCTCCCACCGGAAAGAAGCCTTCCATTGATGAGACCAACTACTCTCTCCAGAACAGAACAGATATGACTTCCGACTATCAGCACTTCGTTCCCCGTGAGGCTCCCAACCGTGGAATGCTTAGCTCTCAGGCCGATACCTCCATGGGCAAGATGCCTCTTGGCCAACTGGCTGACGAAAAGGAGCAGGCGGGAGATAAGGCTCCACCAATCTCTGCTGGTGGCCTAAATGCCATGAAGTAGTGTCTCTTCTTTTATGATAAAATCCCCGATCTCAAAGCCTTTCCTTGTGTTGTTCAGTTTGTGGTCAGCTTACCAGTTCTCTGAACGAGAGAGATCGGGGACATACAGCTCCCCCCTCCCCCCGGGACCGTCTGTATATCTCATTCAGAGCCTGAACAAGTTGATTGCAAAGTGAACATGATTTGGAGTTTGGGCAGGTCTGGCGCATTTTCAAAATACGGAAAACCAACAAAGTATCATGGGGATTGTTGTATGATTCATCGTGGGGAGCCTGTCACTATGTAACACTATATATGAAATTAGTTTATGATATTAACGACTTGATTGACCCGAACTCTTCTATCATCCCATTACTCTCGTGACTTCTGTAGAGGCCTGTTAAGCTCGCAGATTTAGACTCTGTGACACGCTACGCGTTAGCCTTGGTTGACAAACGAGGACTGGTATAAGTCCGGGACCCTATAAAAGACCTTAACACTAACGAACATGATAGAAACCCCGAGGGTAGTGAGAGAGTAATAGAGTAGCTACTTACACGTAAGTCAAAACGAACGTTGCCGTCGCCCGGTCTGCATGACCAATATTCGAAGTAAGCTAAATCGACATCAGCGTTCTGCCGAAAGGGCACAGGGAGTTGCTTACGTTAAGAGTCCTCTCTTCAAAGGACATGCTGGCATGCTGAGGTTCGTTGTAATAATGGTGATTGTAAGTGTCTTGGTTGATGCCCTGGTCGATAGAAGATAACGAGACGCATGCCCAGTTGTCTCGAACGCTCAGGTACGGGTTACTTGCAAGGAAGCGAATGTAAATAGTGGCGCCATTCTTGCTGGTGAGTGAATACCCGACTATTCCTGCGGAGCCACAGAATGGTGATTTCGACGATATTACATGGCCGGCGTCTCCTTTTTGGAAAGGTTTGATCTTGATACATTTTAGCATGACATGCGTGAGGCTGTTTTGCAGAGAACATACTGTTGTCGGGCCTGCGCCAAAGTCTCCCCAGTCACTGAATGTGGTTGGATTTGGGACTAAGGTGAAGGGCGTCTGGTTATCGACCGAGAAGAAGATCTGGTTTTTGTTGTATGACATCTTTACAGCTGCTTTGGAGGCTTTCAGGCTGAAAGCGAGGAGGAAAAATGAACACGTTGACGGCGTGCAAAGAATGAAGCTATCGCCAGCACGTAAGCAAGCAACAGAGCTGTTATATAGGACATGCTAACAATTTCTCTGTTGCCCAAGACAAACATATATCATTAAACCCGTAGCTCTAAATGCCAGCAGCCCAGCGGCCTAACCCCTGTCTCCAAAACGCCAGTGCATCAACGCCTTGTGAGGCTATTGATGACGCTAGACTCTTCCACCCAATCATTCGAAGCCTCTCTCCATCACTTTGCAGCGCGGCTGACTACTCAGAAGCGGCATTTCAAGCCACGCTGCTCAAAGTCCAATTATGACGCGCGAGTAGACGCCTGCTGATATCTTGAAGGGTTCAGCTGCTTGCGTGCTATTGATGAATGCTACCCCGAATTGCTCGGATTGAGACAAGCGAACACTCACTATGGATTAGAGTAGGCAGAATTATGGGCGATAATGTGGCAGGACACGGCTATCACGGCAATCTTTTCAGCTTGTGAACGTTAGCGATATTCGAGTAATCGGAGAATGAATGAAGGTTATGTTCAACTTTAATTGTGAAACAAATGCACACAATAGGCTGCACGAGTAAATAGTGCTGAGTCCTCATGCGTTAACAAGCGGGTGCCCGAGCGTCAGTCGGTTATTCCTATGAGGCGATTCAACCTAACCACCATCAGCATCAAACGTCTAGTAGTCGATAGCCCTATTAATAATTGGCTAACCTGGTAGAATTTATTCACATCTACTTAATAATTGGGGATCCTTGCTCAAGACAAGCACTTCTTCGTCATTATTGTCCTTCGATCGGATATCCGGAAGTCAGATATACTACGTCATGAATATGGATCATCGGTTTATAAGTGGACACGACCTCGGTATCCAAGAGCCGTATCTTTCATCATAGAAGCCTTAAACAAATCATTGGCAGACTTTCACAAAGATTCAGAATGTCAGATCCCAGGTCGCCACATCTCAAGAATCGTGATACCCCTCCATGGGGCTTATACCAACGCGAGAACTTCTGGAAATTGAACGAAGGCAAAGTTCCGCCATTCAACACATGTAGGACGATCTGATACCACTATGATCGCAATGGTACTGATACTCTTAGACCCCGATAAGCTTGAGGAACTCGCCAAGAAGAAGCTCACTGAAAATGGCTGGCTCTACGCATCATCCAACGCTGGCCTGTCAGATACCCATCTCGCGAACCGTCAGGCTTTCTTCAGACATAAGATCGTCCCTCGTCAGCTTGTAGACACCAATGAGCGATCTACCAGAACTACCATTTTTGGCCATGAGGTCTCTGCGCCGTTTGGAATTGCGCCTATTGGGATCAACAAGATCTATCATCCGCAAGGCGAGCTTCCTGTTGCTAAGGTCGCCGGTGAACTTGGCATTCCTTACAGTCTCTCGACTGCGGGCTCCTGTCCGATTGAAGATGTCGCTGAAGCAAATGAGGCTGGTCGGAAGGTTGCACAGAATAGCGAAGAGAGTCACCGCATCCCTGAAGGCCCTCAATTCTTCCAGCTCTATATGCCTCATGATGACGAGCTAACGCTGTCATTACTCAAGAGAGCACATGAATCTGGATTTTCGGCATGTATCTTAACAACAGATACGTGGCAACTCGGATGGCGACATGACGATGTTGCGACGTCTAACTACGCCTTCTACCGCGGCATCGGTGCCGACTTGGGTCTGTCGGACCCCATCTTCCAGAAGCGTTTGGCCGAGCATGGCATCGATCCAAAGAATCAGCCCGCAGAGGCTGGAGCACTCTGGATCGACAACGTCTGGCACGGCCGCGCATGGTCTTGGGAGAAAGCTGTCTGGGCGCGAGAGAAGTGGCAGGAGATAAGCGGCGGAAAACCGTTCTAAGGCATTCAGCGCGTTGATGATGCTGTGAAAGCAGCTGATCTGGGTTTTGAGGGTATCGTCGTCAGTATTCACGCTGGACGCCAGGTTGATGGAGCGATTGGGAGTCTTGATGCTCTGGAACAGATTGCTGAAAAGGTCGGCGATCGTATCGTTGTTACTTTCGATAGCGGTGTCAGAGGAGCTGCTGATATTGTCAAGGCTCTTGCTCTGGGCGCCAAGTTTGTCTTTGTTGGGAGATTGTGGATCTGGGGACTTAGTATCATGGGAGAGCATGGAGTCAGGCACGTGTTGAAGGGATTGTTGGCAGATCTGGACATCCTGATGAATGTCGCGGGGCTGAATAAGGTTGAAGATATTGATAAGAGTCTTATACAATCCCAGCCTTTAAACTGCAAGAGCAAGCTATAGGTTACTGATACGAACACAGGATAAGAAGATATCGAAATAATCAGTTCACTTTCAATAGCGAATACAAAGTTCATTCTTCATCCTAACATGCTGGTTATACTCCAGGAAGCTTGCAGCGCCAACTATCGGCCTTGGTGGTGTTTCCACATCCATCCCATTTGCTCTCATACGGGTAGGGGCAATACGCTGGAAATTGTTAGCTCATTGCGTCAAAGAGGCCTGTGGGAAAACTTACTTCGCTGTGCTGTAGCCTTGCCTGGAGCCTCACTGCTGCCAAACTTGGCGCCAACCATAGTCTCGGGTTCTTGATCCTCCTCAACCCACTTCGTCAGAGCCAGCAAAACATTCTCTTTAGCCGTCAGTCTATCCTTCTTCAACGGATATACCTGGCCGATATCGAATGCACCAGGACCTCCTGAGCAGTGATACATCCCTGGAACAAAGAACAGTCGGTAGAAGGAGTGCATATCATCTAGCGTGGCATTTAGGTTGGCTTGTACCTTGGCGTAGTACTCAGCTGGCAATTTGGGCGTGATGGTTTGGTCAGCTTGACCATGGTAGGAAATGATCTTTCCTCCTTTGGCGTAGAACTTTTGAAGATCGCCTTCTGCGGCATTGACGCCGCCTGGGTTAAGCTTGACGGCAAAATCCATGTCTTTCACGGTGAAGTTGTGAGGTGTCCAAGTTGAGTCATTGTATACAGCACCACGCCAGAAGTCCTAGGAACCCTTATTAGCTCTTATTCTACATCCATGGATTCTACACGTACCTGTAAGACTTTGTAGTTCAGCTCAGCAGTGCCGCTGATCTGGTTGGCGGAGAAGACGCTTGTATCAGCACCCAGAGCGAACCCTGGGTACACAATGTTGCCCTCTGAGTCCGCAAGAGGTTCGTATGCAGCTTTGACAGACGCTACTTGCTTGGGTTTTAGACAGAGCGAACTGTTGAGTAGACCAGTGCCACAGGCCATGATCACTGGGTCGAAGGCATGTGCAGCCGGGTTGTCGATGATACCATCCTCAACACCATCCAGAGGATCAAGCAGCTCAATCTGTTTTGCCACAATCGCCTTCCATTGTTCTGGTCGAACATATGCATCAGAAGAAAGACCAGGCCATCCAATCCGTCGAGCCAGTATGCCTTTTGACGCCACAATGTGAAGCCAGTCGATGCCTGGAGCTCCAGCGAGAATTCCATCAAAGTCATCGGGGTAGAGCTGGGCATTCTGTAGGCCTTGACGGCCGCCTGTGCTGCATCCTTGGTAATAGCTCTTTGAAGCCTTCCTCCCATAGTATTGCTCCACGATTTGCTTTGCAATCTTCGCCTCGATGTGAATTCCTCTATGGCCAAAGTCGTTGATAACCTCTGGCTGGTTCAGGAAGAAGTCAAACCCCTGCTCACCATCATGGCCTGTGTTGGTTCCGAAGCTTGCAAAACCAAGTTGAGCTCCATTTTGGACAGTTGGGAAATCGATACATCCTCCGATGCCACCTGTCCCCGTGGCCAGTAGACGTTTGTTCCAGTTGTCAGGAAGCCATGCCTCGATGCGGACCGAGCTGGAGTCGCTTGTTGAGACATTTACAACTACTCTGCAGAGGTCCGCTGTAATGTTGGCTTTAAAGCTCGGACCTCCACAGGATACTACTGTGTTGGGAAGGGGGATGGCATCCCTGACAGAATGATGCTGGGCTGAGGCGATAGTCCCGTTGGGAATGAGCAGGCTCTCGACTGAGCATTTTGAATGTGACTTCGAAAGAACTGGAGACACAGCCAGTGTTGCAAGACACAAAAGTGTCTTACCCATTGGAGAGACCATCCTGCCAAAGTGGTCTAAAGGCATGCGTCAAATTATCCCTGTCTCAGAATGCCTTCACCGAAGATGATAATATATTTATACATCTCGCCGGCAAACTACAAGAGGGGTTTCGGTAAACTTTGAGCCCGACAACAGAATCACGACGGTCTAGTCCATTCCTCGTTATGGTAGATGTTCATGAAGATCTGCTGGGGAAAAGAAGCCATGTAACCTCCGCATTTCGGTCTCGGCGTCCGTGGCCGAGGATGCAGGTCACGGGCAGCTTTGTTGTCACTTTTCGGTCTAAATGGTACTCCTTCAGATCCGAACCGAAAGACATTCGGACAGCCTGGATATAGTGGTTTTGACTGATTGATTGAGAGTCCATTCGTCATTGCCCATGCTATGGCGCTGTGGTTCCGCCCCCGACGTATTCCAGAACACGAGGCTTGCAACAACCCAGGAGATTCATTTTCCTTGCAGTCTCACGGATAAAAATCGAATGAGTTCTAGTCCTATCAGTTCTTACAAACCTATTCTGCTTTTCCCAGAACTACACTTCTTTGCTTTTTCTCACGTAGGATGTGCGTCAGTGATGGATGCTGGAGTTGATGACGTAACCAGCTTCAAACTTTGTGATATCATGCATCGGTGAAAAGCAACGGCTCCTACTTCAGACTTCTCGCGACTCATCACGTCCTAACTTCAGGTTTTCACCAAGATTAGCAAAATGGTTCGCGTATTTATCACAGGCTCGACAGACGGCATCGGCCAGGCCGCCGCAAAGCTCCTCGCCGAGCAAGGCCACCAAGTCGTTCTCCATGCCCGTAACGCCGATCGTGCCGCTTCAGCTAAAGCCGCCATCCCCAGCGCCGCAGCTGTTCTAGTCGGCAATTTATCGTCAATTGAAGAGACCAAGAAGCTCGCCAAAGACGCAAACAATGCTGGGCCATTCGATGTCGTCGTGCATAACGCAGGCATCGGCTATGGCTCGACAGCATCGAGGGAAATCACTTCGGACAAGATCTCAGCTGTATTCGCAGTCAACACCCTCGCGCCTTATATCCTCACATGTCTCATGGATAAGCCCAAGAGCAGGCTCTTGTTCATGAGTTCGGATAGTCACTACAGCGGTGATGAGACTCTCAAGAACGCCACTCAATCGCACTCTTACGGAAACACCAAGCTTCACGACACAATGCTCGCAAAAGCATTCGCGCGACGCTGGACCGACATCCAAGTCCTCAGCATGCATCCCGGCTGGGTAAAGACAAAAATGGGAGGAAACTCAGCACCAGTTCAGTTAAGTGAACCAGCCAAAGCATTGGCAAGCTGGGTCGCTGGTGAAGGATCTCTGACAAAGGTCACGTCTGGTGCGTTCGTTACAACAAGTGGAGAGAGCAGACCCCATCCTGGAGCGGACAATGTGAGCAAGCAGGAAGAGTTGCTTGAGATATGCAAGTCGGTTTCTGGCGTCGAGGTACCGAGAGAGTAGAGTAGAAGATAAATGTAAAAAAGAGATGCCTCGCTATTGCTCGCAATCGTTTATAGGAACAGCCCGATGCGGGGGTCGAACCCGCAACCTTGAGATCGCGTACTCATAAGAGTCTCACGCTCTACCGATTGAGCTAACCGGGCGTGGCTCTGATTGGTTGAGAGGCGAGGCCGAATTGGGTGACAGTTGCTTTCGAGGGGAGATGGCCACTGTGTTTTCTTGCAAAGCTGGAGCCAGAATGGAAAGAGTTGAACCAGAACAATCGCTCTAGAAAGGGTCTAAGGATCTATCGATTGACTGTTGTATTTACTAAACCGTGAGCGATTTACAATGTTGCATAAGCTTATACACTGGCTTGCAGACAACGGTTAATAGTTACCAGAATTAAAGACTGTACCAACCATTTTCCGCTACTTGGCGGTGTACAACCCTCAGACATAAAACTAGATGACAGAAGAGTAGATATAAAAAGAGAGTCAAGAGCTTTCAGAAAGAAGTTTGCATATTTAGGATATCTACGGAGGATAAATAATATTTATCCCGAAGTTAATGACATGTCCAGGGTAGCATTCGCGATAAGATTGCTTATCTTATGTGCCTCTCAACCAACCAGGTGCAAGCACCACAGAGTTCGCAACCGACTCGCATCCCAACGTTCCAACCTCATCCAGGAGCAAAGATAAATACCTTCAAGACATCACAGAGGCCTCGAGAGCAAAAGGAAGGGTCTGGCCGGGGATTGAACCCGGGACCTCTCGCAAGCTAAGCTATAGGGTTTACCCTAAGCGAGAATCATACCACTAGACCACCAGACCGAATCAGGCATTGCCGCACGTGATGATTGTTGTTTGAGTTCGGGGCTCACAATGGGATCTAAGAAGCTGCAGTTTGCCGAAGCTCGGTAGTTGGAGCGCTGTGGAGCGCGGATGGGTCCCGCTAGACAGGTCGCCTTGAGAGGACATCATTCAGCGAAGACTTGAAACACTCACCATTCTTCATGTACTCTGACAATGAAATCAATAACCACGAAGTCCATCGACCATCTTGTCTCCCAGGTATCAAAAGCTGGTGAGGAGAGAGAGGCTTGTACATCCATTGATCCCGAAGGTTTCTTCCTGCGCCCTCCACCAACACCCCACCATCTATCGTCCTTCATCACACCAGATGAGCAACTATTCCAAACGATACATATGGGTGCTGCTGTAGTCGATGATGCAAAGTGGTTGCTGGTAGTCGACGGCCTTGTGCGAAAACCATTCGCCCTCTCCTTGGCACAACTCAAGGCGTTGCCCGAGACTTCCGTAACGTCCTTTCACGAATGCTATGGAAGTCCGCTGAAACCGCCAAACAGTAACCCGTGGCGCATTGGTAACGTGGTATGGACCGGTGTTCGATTGTCGACTATCCTCGCTCTTGCAGAGCCCCTTCCTGGAGCTCGCTTTGTTTGGTCAGAAGGTCTCGATCATGGAAAGTTCTTTGAGTATGAAGCAGACCGTTATCAGAAGGACTTACCCGTAACAAAGGCACAAAGGCCTGAGGTCCTCCTCGCATGGAAGATCAACAGAGAGCCACTCAGTAAAGAACGAGGCGGACCGGTGAGACTTGTTGTCCCTGGCTGGTTTGGTACGAACTCGACAAAGTGGCTTTGCAGGCTTTCACTGCAAGAGACACGTGCCCCAGGTCCTTTCGCTTCTATTCTTTACAATGAGGAAGACCCAACAGATCCTGAAGGAGTGAGGATGCGGCCGGTATGGGAAGTCGAAGTAAACTCGATGATGACGAAGCCCGCGGACTCAGATGTCATCTCTGCAGGGTTGGTAGCGGTGGAAGGTTGGGCTTGGAGTCATGATGGTGTAGCACTGGTAGAAATCAGTAAAGATGAAGGACAAAGCTGGATTCGAGGGAAGGTAGATAACAAAGAAGATCAGGCTTGGCAAAATTTCACTGCCGCGGTTGATCTTGAGCGTGGGGTTGGGAAGCTGATTACTCGGGCAACTTCTGAAAGTGGGATGAAGCAGCCTTTGACGGGAAGACGGAATCATGTTCATAGCATCACGGTAAATGTCAAATGATCATGTATCGTTGATGTTCGATTATCTCGAGGACAATAGGTTCGCTGTGACTTGTAGCAATAGGAATGACAAAGGATACTCGGGAACAATAAAGAGACCCAACGTCTGTTCTTCTTCCGGCTGCGTCGAGCAGTGCTGCCTCTCTGTTCGAACGAATGGTCAGAGCTCCCCACCAACCCTCGTGACTTCGATCTTCCACTGTGAATCACAAAGGGACGCCATGAACTGAGACGCGTTCCAAAAAATATAAATTAAAGTCCTGTGAAGAAAAACAGGTCTTCTTTTTCCACCCAAGGATACCGACATAAGTTCTTGTGTCATCTCTTCCTCAACCTCACAGCATCCTCGAAGCACTACCTGGAGTGCGCTGCCCATCATGGCGCCCTTTGAACCCAAGTTTACCAATGAAATCCAGCAGGTTAGCTTTAAGTACATTCTATTATCGACTCTTCACTAACGGTAGCAGATGATGTTCGTCGCTGGTGAGACGCAGGAAATCGCTAACGAAACCGCCGCCCTCGTCGAGCAGATTGTGCGAGATCAAATCATCCATCTGGTAAGCACTCAACTCCTTCCTCTTCAAGATACCAAAACTAACCGATAAACAGGTGACCAAGGCCAAAGAGCTCTCCACCCGGCGCGGTGAGAAGTTCATCGCGATCAAGGATATCCTGTTCCAGGTTCGCCACGATACCGCCCGGATGACTCGTCTCCAGAATGTCATCCGCTGGAAGAGACTTCGCAGGGAAGCGAGAAAGACAACAAATGAAAAGGACAAGCCCGAGAACGACGCCGAAGATAGTCTCTCCGACACGGACAACGCGGCTGAAGACGCTGCCAAGACGACTGCTGAGGCTTCCGCTGCTCTCATGCCCTGGGACGAAGAGTTCATGTTCGGCATTCGACCACCCGGTGGCGACGCCGATACCGTCCAGATCAGCGAGCACACCCGCGAGCGACTTGTCTGGGCCGACGAGGTGACCAGCAAGATGTCCGGGGAAGAGTACATCAAATGGTGCTCCTATCGTAAAGCTTCCTTCCACCGTGCCAAAGAGGCCAGATTTCGTGAGTGGGCAGGCATCGGCGTTGTAGCTGATCTCAGAAAGAAAGACGACGCAATTGAGATCCTGGGCTCTATCGCTGTGGAAATGGTTAAGCGCCTGACCGACGTGGCGTTGTCAATCCAGGCACAGGAGATCACGACCCAGGGCGGCAAAGACAATGAGGCGCCGGCGGCGGCCCTTTTGGCTAGAAGACAGGGCCTGTTCCTCATGTCGAACCCGCAGCGACCTGCTGTTGATGCTGGGCATATTCGGAAGGCGTTTGAGACGACGCAGATGAAGCCGAAGCGACGGGGGTATCAGCCGAACCGGGTTGTTGGGCCGAAGCGGTTAGAGCTGATCTAGTTGGGGAGAAGGGATGAAGATTGGCCTGCTTGTTTCTTTAAGATGAGGTACATAGAGGTCCATAGATCTGGACGATAGATTCTGTAGAGAAGTCTCATGACTCAACGATCTCTTTCAGCGCCAGAAGTTGCGCATTCGTCCACTCCTTCACCTTGCCTTGCCATTTACCTCCTGCACCTCCGCCCTTGATATCCTTGATAACGACCTTGACCTTCTGCGCCATAGCATCAACAGCAACTTGATCACCAACAATAACAACCGGTCCACTGCCCTTCGGCTCCCCAATAGCAATAACAACAACAAACCCCGTCCCCTGCAGAACATCCCTCGTCTCCCCAACAATCTTATTAATAAAATCCGTGTTCCCGTCATATCGATGAATATACGCATTCATCCTATTCTGAACAATGATTCTAATAGCCTGCTCACTTTCAAACTTTGCTACCTCAAGTAAAAGCTTTCGTTCAGACCGTTTCAAGTCGGTGACTGTATCTGAGAGAGCTGTGGTTCGGGAGACGACCTCGCTGGGGACGTTGCTGGATGAGAGGAGCTTTGCGATGGAGCTTATGGCGCTGACGGATGATGCGGCAAGGTTGATGGCACGATCACCTGTTATGAAGGATAGACGGCAGTTTTTGCCGTGGACGGACTGTGTTGAGCCGAGGATTATGAGGGAGATGTGGGATGTTTGGGAGAGGTGAGTTCCGCAGCATCTGGCCGTAGTCAGTAAGTGCCTAGAATTTGGAGGGTGAACTTACGTGTTCGTATCAAGATCTCCAATGTGAATAACGCGTACAACACCATCAGACTTGTCATAATCACCAGGGAGCTTATCATGCTTCGCATCATCCGGCGTCTCAATCCGAATCGGCAGATTCTCACGAATCAACTCTGCACACTCATTCTGAATAGCCTGCATCTCCTCCTCCGTTGGCTTCCGCTGCAAGTCAACGTAGCTCATGCCCTCTTCAGCGCCCATACCCCATCCGAGAGTCTTGAGATCGTGACGGTTCTGCATAACGGCGGAGAGGAGATGTTGGCCAGTATGTTGCTGCATGTGATCCCATCTTCGCTTCCAGTCGACTTCCTGACGGATTCTGTCACCTGGGGATAAGGGCTTGGGGGAGTAGATTACGCAGCGGAGACCTTGGCGCTGAACGTTCTTGATGGGGATGGGGGTTTGATCTGAGCCCGAGAGGGGCGTGATTGTGCCATGATCTGAAGGTTGACCGCCGCCTAATCCCCTGTCAGTAAGGTCCTCTTAAACTTGGAAAGGAAACAAGTGCAAGACCTTCAGGAAACAGCACCGAGTCGGCGCACTCGATTAACCACTCATCATGCGAATGAGAATGTCCATTACTCTTCTTTGACTTGTGCGCATGCTTCGGCGCCTTTTCACACGAGATGACTTCTGTTTCGAGAGTCTTGAGGTATGAGTCTGATTGACATGATAAGTCGCCGACGACGCGGCCTTTGCTGGTTTGCTCTGGTTGCGCCATGTTGACGATGAGATGCCAAGGGATGAAAGACCCATTCAATTGAGATGTTTCAATGACGTAGTGGGGTATGCTGACAAAGACGACATGTCACTTGACCAGCTGATTCTGCTAATGTCTCTCTGATACATGGACCTGGATATAAACAGGTCCCTGGCTGTGCCTGGCAATAATATTGATATGTATCTAGCCTGCAGGGCCGGCAGACAATTTAGAGTTGGATTTGACTTTGTGTAGCGTTCAGTTACCCCGTTTTCCCCAGCAACGGTCGCTACGGCTTGGGGTCCAGCACTCTGTACGAACACCAACCCGATGTCTCTAAATTCATTTCACACCAACGACTCATTCAAAAGAGGAACGCAGAACTGTAAAGTAATCGCAATAGAGCATGTAATCATTGAATTGGACCTAGCTTTGCGCTGCAACTTCGAAGCAGCCTCGTTTCATCAAGCATCATCATCTTCTTCAGTCAAGTCATTACAGGCCGGTCTCCAAGAACTGAATGAGGTCCTCCTTATGTTCACTCTGCAGATCATTGATCTTCTCTCCGTTCTTGTACATGTGGAATGTTGCAGGCTGCGTAACACCGACCTCCTCCGCCAGACCCTTCAGGTCATCGATGTCGATCTTGACGAATCGGAAGTCCTTGAACTTGTCCAACTCATATGCGCTATAACTGGTCAATGAAGATATTCGAAAGAATGATTGGGGAGACTAACTGAGCGAATGTGGCGGCAATGTGCTTTGACTCGGCGCTATGCGTGGAGTAAAAGTCCACGACGACGATGGGATACTTCTTCAGAGCATCTTGGAACTCGTCCTTGCTAGTAGCATGTCAATTCTCTGGTTTCTACCTAGGAGATGAGAGGAAACCGACGTTCGGATGTTGTGCACCATCTTTTCTGGATTGGGGGGTGATTGGCGAGTCTGATCGCGGCGAGTCAGTACGAAGTTGGTGTGCGGAAAGGTCTGGCCTGGGCCCGAGTCAAGGACGTACAGTAGTAATTGGTGATATCTAAGACGTGCGACGGCGAAACGAACTCTGAAATGATGAGTTTTGTTGTTTTGATGTCGAAGCTTTAATGGTGACGTTGTTGATTACCTATTGTGAGACCTTTTTAGCTGACATCATCATGCCGTCATTACGAAGTATCGCAACATTCTCCTCCGCACTTGTTCAATACCGAGTACCGACGTTCGGAAAACAGCAATGGCGAGATTCTGATACTTAGCCGTTGGTTCCTCTACATTTGGAAGTGCCATATTCTACGGGAAGATGAGAAGCAATAAAAGTCTCGAGCCATGACATCAAGAAATGGTTGGACAATGTAGGCATTCACATGGATTTCGTGCGGAGACGGGCTGCATTTGAACAGTCATTGGTAAAAGTCTCGTGATCATGATACAAAGAACAACTAGGAATTAGTCTACAGGGTCCCATATTCTCAACTTGATTTATCCATAGGAGCTCCTGAAAATCTCAAGGGCAAAACACTTCAAAAGAGAAGCTATGACTTCGCTGGGGACGCTGCCGAATGGGAGGAGCTTTGCGATGGAGCTTATGGCAATACTATTGGACTTTACAGCAGAGATGAGATAAAGTGTAAGCAATTCTTCATAAAAAGTATGCTAGCCTTTACTTAGACCCTCGTCGGGCTTTGCGGCTGTTAAGCCATCACTCTCTCCCGATTATTACCGCTAGTGCGGCGCCCTATGACTTTGGAACAACTGTAGTATATTGATAATATTTTAATCATACGATACTTTTTATAAAACATGTGCTGACTTTCAGCAGCGTCTAGAATCCAGTAGTCTCGGTTCAGCCGCATTTATGCTTGTTTTTACAGGGATTGTACCACCAACAATCTTCAAATTGTCCTAATCTGGCTGCCAAGCACTATAGTTCGACAATCTATTGATTTGATCTGATGTGTTGGTGGAGGCGATAATTTACGGTGTACCTCTCCCGGCTTTAAAAGTCTCTTCCTATTCCCTTGTGTATCGTCCCTTTTACAATTTGTTTTCCTGGTGATTGCGAAAATGGTTGCTGTGAAATCTGTCTTGCTTCTCCTCGCCCTAGGCACCGAGAGTCTAGTCGCCTCTCAAAGCGTCATCTGTCAGAGCAAACTCGGAACCAAGAGTATCCCTGCCAGCAAGATTCCCCGGGCCACGACTACCATCCACAGCAAAGTCACAGTCCAGAAGAAGGTCATCCGCAAGGTCAACGTCGTAGTTGTTCCCAGACCCACTACTACTACTTCCACTGAGGTCAAGACAATTACCGAGACAACGCAGGCTGATCCTGATATCGAGACTGCGATTGAGACAAAGACAGGTGAGAACTCTGCTCTCAATTGTTGATCATACGGTACTAATATGCTTGGTGTAGATACGAGGACTACCATCGAAGTTCGACTTCATACTACGACCTCTACGTCTATATCCTCTACGACAACTACAAGATATACCACCACGAGCACTATCCTAGCCCCAGCTGGCTTCACCCCTGCTAAGGGCCCTGACTGGCGGCCCAAGATCAAGGCGAGAGACACCCTTAAAGAGAGATCTGCACCCGACGTTTTCCTAGCTGGGCTTCAGTCGAACCCTGAGTATGTCCAGCGCATCGACTGTACAAAGAAAGTCTTAACGACGTCCGTCAAAGTCACCACCATCACGGTGAAAGGAACCCGCGTTACGGCCAATCCAAAGACCAAGACGAAAGTCGTCACATCAATTACAACTACAATTGAGACTCAGTATCCTCCCAAGGTGACCGAGACTTCATTCGAAACTACTACTTCTACCGTGACCGAATATGACGATCGCACCGAGACAGGTACTGCAACTGAATCAGGCAAGTCCACCCTTATATCCAAATAACACTCTACTAACAGATAACACTAGTGACCGTGGAGACCGTTATACCAGTTGACTACTACGAGGCCTGTGGTGACACCAATATGCTGAGAACTGCCAATGGAGGCAATAAGATCAGTTCCCTCAGCTACAAGTTCACCAGTATGGTCAGGTCAACTAGTGGCCTCAAAAACGCTTATGAGTGCTGCGTTCTTTGCCAGCAGACATCCAGTTGCTTTTTCTCCAATTGGCGCGTGAACTCATTGTGCGCGCTTTACCTCCCTATTACGACTGATATCTGCAGCAACGGCCAGCAGGTAGCCGCTACTTATTATACCAGTGCCACCACCAACAATGACTGGGTTTTAAGTAACGGTCAATGCGGCAAGTTAACTAATGGATCTCAGTAATATTGCGTTATTTATAAGCAGGCTTGGATTCCGGAGCTGATCAGATGGGCTATACACAGTGCTATCGTTAGCAAAGTCACACAATTCTCGACATTTGTAGTATATGCGTGAAGATATGAAATACTATGTTACGTGGGAGCCCCGATGTTCTCTGTAAAAGATGCATGTTTGTATCTATATATCCCAATGAATCTGAAGTGAATAGGTGCAGAAGCTCCTTGTTCTCCCTGACGAACCCGTTAAGACTCGAAGCTAAACTTCAAGCCAGGGAGAATCTCAATGCTTTCAGGGCTGCCTTTGTCACCAAGAAGAGTGAGATGGATGTGTCTCTCCTGATCCTGGCTGCTTTCAAGAGTAATCTCTTGCTTTCCCTTCGTAGAACCAGAGTGAACAACGAAAGGCCATGTGCCCTCCCCATTAGTGGTGGATCCATGGATTCCGTCGTAAACCCCAGCAAGGACATCGCGTTCCTCCTTGGGCACTGAGATCGAAACTCCCGAGACCCCAATCGCACCAGAAGGATGCTTCGTGTAAGAAGGGTCTGATCCGTCGTCTTTCTTATACGGCACTCGTAAGTGTCTCGGAGTGCGGTCGAGACACCAAAATGGTGCTTTGCCTGGATGCACCGCCTTGCCGGGAGCAGTGTAGGCTGAAGCAACAGACCACTTCAACTCGACACCATCGGGTCTGATGCGACCTCCAGGGACAGGATCGTGGTATATGATATCAGTGTTCGCTTCTTTGACCCGTTGTTGAATCACGCTGAAGTCCTTCTCATCAGAAAGAGTATACGCCCAATCGACGAGAGTGTTCTCTTCCAGCTCTCCCCATCGATGCGTCTTGCGCTTTTCAGGATCCAGGCCATCTTGAAAAGTGATGAGTTCGATATAGACCCCATCCGAAAATTCGATCAGTTTGTTGACTGTGCGGCCATCTGCATGAGCTCCGCCATCAATTACAGTGAGGACGTTCTCCAATCGCTTTGGAAGGTCTTGCAGCGTCTGGAAAGACACCAGGATCACAATGTGGTCTAAAATTGGTCGAATACTGTTGTTTAGTGTCATTGTTAAGACTGGCGTAGTGTTGAAAGGTTTAAGTTGATGATGAGGGGAATAGCTTTGGTTCTGCAGGCATTTCACAGTAGCCAATTGCGTGATCAGAACCAGTATTACGTCAACACATCAAAATTTGCAACAGATGAGGCTGGCATGAACTTTCGATAGAAACTTCTGCTGGGGAGAACTCGATCCCTGTTCAAGTCTGGGTCTGTAGACTTTCCTTCGTAGGCCTCTCTGGATCTGTAGCAATCTGGTCCAGTTGATCCATAGCATTCCATAAGCCACCTTGACCCCATCTAGGCAAGTCTGGTCTTTTTCTCATTGGCTGAGGCCCATGGACCTCCCAAACCACCCCAATCGATTCGGCATCTCGCAGTTCCTGATCCGTAAGCCTTTTAGAAGCAAGTTCCTCCCTAACCTCCTGCATTCTTGGAGCCCAGTTCATGTGCATCCATTCGAAGAACTCCTCTAGGCTCATGTCGTGGCAACGGCCGTCTTCGAACTCTGTAACGAGACTTTCAAACAATCCAAGTAGGGAAGAATCTTCCTCTTCAATCTCCTGGAGCTCCTCTTCTGGCAAAGGACCCGAAATCTTCTTAATGATGGAGCAGCAAACGTGACGCAGACCCAGCGTCACAAACGTATAGTATCGAATAATGGCCGCATAGATCCATTGGCAGTCGCTAATCTGACCCCAATGTGCTGATAATAAACCGTTTATTAAACGTTCTGTTTCTCGGGAAAGAGATTGCTGTGATCCGAATACAATCCTGTTCCGCCCAGATATCCCCTCCAAGAGCTTCATCAGAGGGGTGCACCCCCCTGGAGAGCACCAGCAGCGACAACCGTCGACAACGGTTTCTGAAAAAACAACCTTGATAGCTACTATTGTCAAGGGAGAGTCCAGGGTCAGGTTTTGTCCAAGGCTGTCCGATATTCCCAAGCTAGCCATAAAATAGTGAGCCGCCGTCGCTTCTATCTCCGGGCTGGGTGGTTGTCTGACAGGAATTCTTGATGAGATACTAGTACCATGATCAATCATCCAGCAGAGATATGAAGAAGAAAATGGATTGATCCAGCGGAAATATGAAGAAGATTTGACTAAGATGCAGATGAAGTCTGCAAATTCGTTGTCCGAGTAATAAAAACCTAACTGGTGAGCATACTCTGCGACTTCGCCGTTCGTAATAATAGAGTAAACTGATTCATGGTAGTATGATGATCCAATATCCTCTGTGTATACACTGAGGCGTGTTGGCATGGGGCAACCTTGAGCCTCGAGTTGGTGTTGCACCTGTGCAGCATTTCGGTCCAGGATCCTTGTCTGATGAATTTCTAGACCTTCCCTTTCATCTGGTGAAAGCTTCCGATACGAGAGTTCCTTCAAATCTTCTCTCCTTTCTACTAGACCTCTGATTATAGTCTTACGGCCGTGTATGCAGCTGTGACTACCATATTCTAATGATCTTAAGCTGACACGTAACGAGGTCAGAAGAAGCGGCGTATCTAATCGAAGAAGCATTTCAAGCACTTTGCACCCTTCGCAATCTGCTTGAGGCTCTTTGGTACGCTTCCAAAATCTTTTTGTCACATAGTCGATGGGATAATAGCCTCTGTTATCTCTAGCGCGAAGAGCTTTAGCGTCTGCATAGTGAAGCACAACACTTATAACAGCGATATTTTGCGTTTCAATGGCAAGATGAACCGGGGACTGGCCGCAGTAATTGGCTTCGTTGATGTAGGATGGGCATCTCTCCAATAACCGTTGGACTCCATTTCGATCTTGTTTAATAACAGCCTGAGTCAGGGGGCCAAACTCTAGATCTGCATGGATTATTAAGCCCGGGTCTTGTCTGAAATAGGTTGAGACTTACTTTCGACAACTTGTGGAAAAGCTTGGAAGAGTCTATATCCATCACCTACATGGTCTTTATCCCGCCACCACGATAGACCCCAATCGTGAGGATGATGTCCTAGCGGTTCCCTGTATTTCGATAAGATAGTCGTTGCGACTTCATCAGGCCTCGTACATTTGTAAAACCAGCTACTGGTAGCTATTATAGCAGGAATGGGTTTACTACATCAAGAAAATGAGTAGAAGTTCTGCAATCTGCATAACCAGTAAGCTTGAGTTTGCCTTAACTTACGCTGTGATCTTGCGTGTACAGGAAGTTGGCTCAGCAATGATAGTAAGCATCTTATATAGTTCTGCCATGTTATCGGCCGAGAGGGCATCATGCCAGGCGGGTAACTATTGTACTTCGAGTTAGGCAGTAAAACAGTTTGTGGATAAAAACAACCTACAGTATACCTGTGTAGCGCCGACTCGAGTATTGTTTCACCGTCTTCATTGACATCGGTTACAGAAGCATGGGAGTTGGCATAACACCAGACAAGTCGTCTGAAGCCTGAAGCCAACAGCATGTGCATGTCCTTGCGGGGCAAACCTTGATAGGAAGCGATTGTATCCGCTAATCGAAACACTGGGGATACTCTCTCATCCACTGTCGCAATCCAGGCCACTGTTTGGCCAATCCCTAATATGCCTGCACCTGTCGTGAACGACAACGAGACTCTACCAGCACGTCCCCATAACCTTTGACTTGAGGGGGTCAAGAGGCTCAAGACTCGCTTAGTTCGACAGGTTGATGCAGGGAGCTTTGACATTGGACATTCGGGCGCATGATGGTCTCTTGATCTAACTTCAGCTTCGAGAAGGAAAGGTCCCCATTGGCGTTGACTATATCGTATTCGCTGCGTTTTGCAAGAACAAAAAGCATCAAATGTCATGCTCCCGCCACCCTGGTAACTGGTCGTTTGTATACTGGGTGTAAATGTATCAGATGCTGGATCCTGCAGCAATTTGGGAGCGACACTAGTGTGAGAGGTGAGGTCCGACATCTGCTCGGCCATCGGTCTCAGTAAGAGCTTTGAATCATCGGAGTCTCGTGTGAGGATCAAAAGATCTCTAACGTCTCGTTGGATAGCACTAAGTCTGTTATCATGAAGCTGCGATGTCTTGTGCATTTCATCCAGAGTTGTTTCGTTCTTGTCCAATATTACGTTGACGTCGGCAACGGTCTGGTGCATGCTTTTAATAGCAGAGGTCGTTGTACGGCCAGTGTTGCTTCGTCAAGCATGAACATTAGCATATGATATAAGAATTAAAAGCACGAAATGTAATATGACATACAGCTGAAATACTTGCAACATGGTTTGCAGAGCACTGTTTGTCCGCGAAAGATTCTCCTCGAGCTTTTCTATGCTCTGCTTCTTGAAAGGGTACTTCAATTTGGCGCAAAGCCCTTTGGCCCTGGCAGCGTTACTGTTCGGTATAGATATTATTGGACCTCTGAGCTCTTTCACAAGTGCCAACAAATTGTTTACCGCGGACACGCAAGAGTCTCTGCATGACCCAATTGCACTGTTTGTCGTGGGATCGTCAGTAGGCGCGTTAGATATCGCCACATCAAGAGCATTTATGGAAACTTGGATGTTCGTTGCGAAGTTGCGTGCTTGTTTTAGATCTTCTTCACGGCCGTCAATGTCATCGAGATATTGCGAAATTTCTTTGAATAATTGCAAGCCCAGAGAGACAGTGCCGAACGCGCTGCCAGCTATACCGAATGCTTCCGCCATAGTGGTGAGTTGGGTGCGTGTGTGTTCGCAAGGTCGAAGTGCGGAAGAGGCAGAGAATGAGAGACAGAATAAAAAGAGGGACCGAAACTGCCCTGCTTGATGTAGAGCCTGATTTTTACGCAGGGATCACGTGGCTTTCATCTTATCCGGATGCCTTTTCTTTTCCAATCGCAGTGGCACCGCAAGTCTTGTTTCTCAAGGTTGACCACAAAGCTCTCAGCTCTTTATAAAGCGGTTAGCCAGGTGCTGAATTGAGCTTGCCAGGGGCTCTGTGGCTTGTCTCAGGCATAATTGAGGCCTGACATAGCCCCCCACAAAGAAGACAAGCGGCCTGATTGGACTTCAAGGTGCATGAGCGCTGAGAGGCACCGCCCGTTCGCAGAAGTAGGTCTTATCATCGTTTAAATCATAACATTCATTAACTGTTCGGGTATCCTTATAACAGAGAAACGCTGGTTATAAATTTGAGATGCAATCAAAGGGGCAAACGAGTTGCCCGATTCAGCAGAGGACGATATAAAATGCAGTTTTGAGCATCCAAGAGCAAGGCGAGGTGTAATCCGATTGATTGGCATTCAGCAGACGGGAAGCAACTTCGGGGCTGTCTCTCTTAGATGATGCTGGACCAATGGTTCATTAGACAAATATGCGAATGCCTCTTCCACTGAAACATAGAGTTTCATCGTGGATGAGATCTTCATCCGCATTCGGCGGATCTCGGGCAGCTGTGTCACATGGCTGTAAACCGCCACTTGACCTTTATCTTCTTATCCTCAGCCCGATATAGGAGCTGATGATATTTTGAACGGTCACTTTCTTCTCAATTTTCTCATTCTCAATATGATCTCACGAAGGGCTAGGGTTTGATACAAATTAGAACGATAAAGAACTTTGATCAATCTATGTAAAAAGCTAAACAGTACTGTGATATGCTCACGTATCTGATCTGGGGTGAGTATCCTGTTTGACTACTCTAAGTACCACAGATATGTCCGAAACGAATCTATACCACCCAGATCCCAACGCCGGTACCCAAATAAACGATTGTTGTAAACGACATAAACGCCAAAAGTTCTCAGCTGAGCGACAACGATCTAGGCGGCGGGCATCACACGGGCTGAAGCCCATGCTCCGACGCCGATCAAATACTGGTCCATAGACTCTTTTCTGCGAGGCCTTATTACTGGCCTTGGTCGATCTGGATCCTGCTTTGTGTGAGTCAGCGTGACTGGGCCGACTGAAGGTTCAACATGCATTGAACCAAAGCGTTTGGGCTGTTGCGTAGTGACAGTGCTCATTTTGCCTGGAGTGTTTGAAAAGTAAGTGAAGTGTCAAGCCAGCGGTGTATCCTCGATCACTGACCGTTGTTGTCTATAAGTGTAGTATAAGGGCGTTTATCATATGAAGTCATCGTGAATGTGAATCTAGAGAATTGAAAACAGTCCTTTGATGTATAAAGAATTTGACGATGGTCATTTTTGCTGCTGAACCATTACCATGACAATACGTGGAAAAGGACGCAGTTTTATAAATAAATTACCCGACTGCACAATGATGTTCTCTTTCCGCATTCCACGATAATCTCAAATCTCCAACCCCTCATGAAGGGGCATTGCTTGGGGCACATGACATGTACACGTGAGATAATAAGTGCGAAAACTACCGGCGTTTGTTAGTGATCGTCGCCTTCTCGAAAGTCAATAGAGTTTGACGGGACCCAAGGGGGCGAATTTCAATATCAAATGTGCGATCGTCGCAGGTTGATATGATGAGCTATCGGTCCGTGCTCGGGGACAACTCAGCGACTCCGGCGCTAACAATAACACTGCCAGCTCACAGTTTAGGGCTGAAAAGGGCCCGCCTTGTTTTAAGCTTAGATTGATTGGAGGGACCTATCTGGCTCTAAAATGCAGTGAAGGCTTGGCCATCGAAAAGAGGAAATCTTGTACAATCTAGGGACCTTAGATGAGCTGTCTTGGAGAATACGAAAATGCGAAAAGAGACAACGCAGAGGCCCAAAGGAGAAGGTAGCACGCAACGACACTTTTACCCATGTTTTTCTACTTCGAAAAGAGATTCGAGGCTGTCTGTAGCGAGATCAAATTACTGGTGTTGGGCATTTGCACTTTAAGCAACCCTCATGTCCTGATGTGGAAGTTGGCCAGCAAAAATGGCCGATTCTCGGAGGATGCTAAAAGATGACGAGATCAAACATGCAGTGTGACTACGCCTTTTAGCATGTAATCGAGCGGGGTCAACTTGCACTTTATTCCTTTTGCCCGAGAAGTCACTCGTGCGAATGATGCCAACGCACCAGTACCGCGGCTATTTTGTTGCTGGGTCTGGTGTGAGGTATCTAATGCAGATCGGAAGATTGACGAGGTTGAGGGAACCCCAAGCGCCCTGACCCAAGGATCTGTCACTGATGACGATGTTTCCCCAAACGTTGGAAACCGTCATGTACCACGTGGACAGAGCGACGATCAAATTACAGGAATGGGTCGCGTGATCAGATGAAAGCTGATTGAGAGAAGTGGCGAGGATGAGGAGTGAGGAACAACAAACTCTGCCGATCATTGGCCGTTGAGCGATTACCATGATGCTCGGTTCCGGACGTTGCATGTGACACGATGAAGCTTTTGTTGCAGTGAGTCTGGGAAGCTCTGAATAAGACGTTGAAAAGATTGCATTGATGTTGAATCACAAAGTCGAGAAGCTAATCCTCTCTTGACTTGACTATCTCGACTGAACTTCTCCAATCAACTCTGATCATGTATATCACCTCAATAATGGCGATAACTCCAGAACCACCTATCATTCCAGACCAAACACCATTCAAGCCCAGGTTCCAAGGACCCAATTCTAACCAGACTGCGATGGGAACAGCGGCAAAGTAGTTGACGAAGAACACAACCCACGCTGACACAGATTGTTTGGCCAAACCACGGAGAACACCATTGCATCCACAAACAATCGAATCGACGACCTGAAAGCCCGCAACGGCAAGCATAGTGTTCGTAACAATTTTCCGAACCTCCTCGTCGCTCGCATAGAAAGGTCCAATGTAATTCCTCAACGAGAACAAAACAGCACCATCAAAGAATCCCAAAACAACAAACATGATACCATAAAGAATCGTAATCCGTCTCGCAGCAGTGACGTGTCCACCACCAATCAAATGTCCAATCCTGGTACTAACAGCAACACCCAGCGAAAAAGGAATATGCCACATCACAATCGAAGTAGTAGTCAAGATCGTCTGTGCAGCGAGATGAATCGTGCTCATGTATGACGTGCTAACGGTGATGATCTCAAACGCAGCCCACTCCGCCAACGTGACAGCCGATCCGGCGGCAGATAACCGAACCATGGGTCCCCAGCCCTTCATCGCACGACGCGTAAAGCCGGGCCAGCATTCGTGGGTTGACTTTTTGAAGAAGATGCAAAGGAGAAGGAGGGTTGGGCGAAGGGTGTTGGCTACTGCTGCGCCGAGAGCGGCGCCTTCGAGACCGAGGTTGAGCTTGAAGGCGAAGAGCCAGCTGAGGAGGGCGTTTATGGGGGCGCAGATCACTAAGACTGCCATGCCTGTGTTGAAGTCGCCTTGAGCTTGGAGGAAGCGTTTTAGGGCCTCGAATGAGGCATAGCCGGGGATACCAAGGATGCTGACTCGGAGGAATGAACCCGCTTTGACGGCGAGATGTTCTTGCTTAAGGATGAGAGTCAAGAATGCGGGAGAACATATCCAAACTGCAGCAACAGGGATAGTGAAGACTGTCATGAGAAGAAGCATACGCTGGACATGCAGCCCAACACCCGTCTTGTTACCGGCCCCATACGCTTGCGCACAGAGGGTGTCGAGAGCTGTTGCCATTCCTTCGTAGAGGGCAAGACCAGCGATGTTCATGGTCGTGACGCCAATTGCAGCTGCTGCCAGGTCATCAGGGCTGAGGTGACCAGCTGCTGTTGTTGTGATAACGCTAAATGAGTATTGAAGTAGATATGTTGCTACCAGAGGGACTGTATAGCGTGTAATGAGCGATAGCTCAGCCCACCAGTCGTTCGTTGGCCTTTCTGAGACAGATCTTTCTTCATTGTTTTGCAGCAATGGGGCCGCTTCATTGCGGGCCTCTTCGTCGTGGGAAGTCATTATCAATTGATCCTAAATATTTTGTTTGGAGAAATGCTGTTCAAGATACCTGACGCTATGAGGTTTACATAGCGTGCAGTTGCTTTGAGTCACAGATCCAGATATGGCAGTTGGTTAACGAACCTTATCCGATCCCGGGCGGGGAAGAAGAGTGACTCTAACAATATTGAGTCAGCAAAACTGCTTTACAAATGGTTGGTGGCAGCGTTCATAAAACGCTGCACGGAAACACGATTGCATATGTGGCCAAAATCCACCAATTTACAAATAATGATCCCACAAACTCCATGACTCCATCTTGTAGAACTCGTCTCATCCATTCGCATGTCTTGCCACGAAAAGCATAGCAAAGAGGAGCCATCAGCAAGGAACAAGGATATAGTTCCATCATCAAGAGATTCCTCGTTACGTACTAATTCATGCTCTGACCAGCCCCAACCGACCATTTAGAGAGTGGATTACAGTGGCTCATCAAGTGGCACAAGTGGATAACCCTCTATAACCCCCACTCACGGCACCTGAAGGTATCGCGCAAAGTGGACGATCTGATACGAGCACCGAAAATGGCGCTCGGCAGTTTAATTTGGCTGAACTTTATCAACACGTTGTAACCACGTTCTCTAACGATGTTACACGACTAATTTCACAAAATGTTGACCGCCAGATAACGAGAAAAGAGAATATTGAAATGTCAGCATCATGTCACAGTGGCTAAGACATTGATCTTTAGTTCAAGCCACCGTAAATCTCTCAGGGGCCGGGGAGCTAAGGGTCCGGCCCGTAAGTCTGTCCTCTTGATCCATTACAAGACCAAGTGGACCGGAGATAACCTTGGCGTTAATTCCCAGCCAGC